CATGTTTGAAACTGATAAGCTTTTTTTTGAAGTGATAGTATGAAATTAGAGAGGAAATTGTACATATATACTAAACCTCTCTTGTACAAACTTATATTTTATATATTATTTTTATAAAATGATTAATAGTCATAAAAAAACTCAGATCTTTTAAATGACATTGGCAACATGAGCAGATAAAAATTTGCTTATCTTGAAACATTTACAAATCAATCTACTAATGTATGAAAATACTTCAGTCAAAGATAGGCATAATATATAGTAACATTAATGATAAAAGAGCTTGAGAACTTGGTCAAGATCAACTGATATGCCAGTTTAACACTCTCAACCCTCCGTAGAAAGCTATACAAATCACATATCCTGGGAAAGAAAAAAAATCATACAAACTCAAAAATCTATAAATTCGACACAGGTTAGTTTTATGCACAATTCATTCCATCAAAAAAAAAACTGCTTGACAATAGATTATCTGTATATTAATTGAAGGACAACATCTAATACAATACCACATATAAAAGCTAAGTTAATAATGTGATAAATAAATTAATGTTGTAAATTCACATATAATCATTCAAATATGATCTCAAATCATGATAAGATTTATATATACATATAATTAATTCATATTTTATACAATTATCCTCATCTATCATTCTAGATATATATCTGTTATACATGATACACACTAGAAACAAAGTGATTTATTTCCAAAAATAATGCCGTATAAGTTTGATACGCTTGTAACTGCATTTTGAATACCAAAGACTTCAAAAAAATCAGCCAGACAGGGGTTGTTACCTTATTTTAGTAAAATTTACCTACATAACACTAGAGTCCAATATTGTTATCCAATATTGTTTCACTAAATTTGAATGATATTAGGTCAAAAGTATCAAGAACGTAGGTGAGTGGTGTACATATACAAGAATATACTAAACATACTAAATACTTTTATTTTAAAAACATAAATTAAAATTAGACTTATTTGAATGTTTCAACTATGTCATATTCACATAAATCTTTTAGTCACATTTTGAAGTAAATTTGTTAAAATGTTTATATTTTAAATACTAAACAACTGAACTTCATTCATTTATTGGAGCTCCACAGAGGTAAAAAAGCCTAAAGACAAAATTTGTAATTTTCACTTCGATCATATAAAGCACTTAAAATGGAAAATATGCTTTAGACAATAAAGAAATATACTCTGAATTAAATTGCAAAATTGAGAGTTAGTGCAATTCTTGGTCTCATTTGAGTGAAAAAAAATGTTTTTCATTGTTCAATCATAATGAATCATTTAAATGGTACAAAGTCCTATCATGTGAAAAAACGTCAGTGATGTCCCTTTAATGAGAATGCAAAATCCAGCATTAAAATAGCCTAGAATACTACATATTGTTTTCCTTTATAGACACAAACATATTTTCACCTACTTCTTTTGTTTTAATAAATATGTAACTGTATCATGATGAGTTTAACAAAATAATAATGTCTAAAGAAAAGAGGAAAAAGAAACAACAAATTTCACAAATAATACAACTTAACCGTGATCAGATATTACATTTATGTATGTCGGACTAGCAAAAATTATTTTCATAGTATGTACAATATTATTTAAATGAAATATCTGTGCCAAAGATCGAGAGCTTAATAAAAATTCAAAAGCCCCTGTGTAGCACAATTTTCTTTATACAGAGTACAGGGCTATACAAATAATGTGAGTGAAATTGCTGAGTTAGCAGATTTTACAATTATAGAAACTATTGAAGGTACACACAACCATACATACAAACAGGTATCCAAACATTAACACATCAAGCACATTGACAATGTATAGCATGTTAGCAATTATCATAATGTTATCATATATTCCAACTTACACAATATTCATATTGAAGGTCAAGTACATAAAGGTCATTCCTTATAATTATATGATATAGATAAAATATATCCATATTGTACTAACCTATCAACAGATTCTCATATATACGACTGACATACAAGTGACATTCCAGTGACATTCAAATTCAAACTGTTTTATGATTTGTATGGAATAAAAGGAAAATAGGAAACATCTTAAATGTCAAGCACGAAGAATCTCTTTTTAACTTCACTCTTATAATTTTCAGGACAGGACCAGCGACAGTATCATATAAGTAACTGGTGTTTATCAAAATATCAGTTCAACGAGTAACTGATTAAATTTTACTTATTTAACTTTGTGAAATTGGATTTTGCCATGCATGAAATATGGAACAAGTCATTTAAAAATAATGGATTTCAGTAATTTTGATATATGAAATAGCTATCAAACAATATGAAAGCCTTGTTGAAAACGCTGCTTAGTGCATGTGTTGTAAACTGCTTACTATATGGTTTGAAACAAATTGCCAAATTTCAATAAAAATTATATGGTTTCAGCAGGTCAAGGGTGCACAATAACACACAGATTTTTCATTACATTCTTAGTGTCTACAGACTTAACTGTTGTAGCTAATATGAATTATAGTATATTACAATTATACTGCAGTAAGCTATCAATTTGCTCTTTTTAGTATTTAGTGACTTTTAGCTGATGTAGCCAAGAAAAAACATCATGACAAAATCTTGTCATTATTACAAACTTAATTTGTATAAAAAATAATTAGTTTTATCATTCTTAAAAACTTGTTTGCCGCTGAACTAAAGAAATCAGTCAATTATATTAAATAAGAATGTCTCCTATATGTATGTTTCAGTGCTCATACACTCACTCCCTTGTATTCTCAGGTAAACAACGTTTCCATACCAACCATTTTACAATTAAAATATCTTAATATATGAAAATCAAACAAAACTAAAGCACCATTCTCATCATTCAATCATTCATATAAATATTGCACAAAGAATATCTCTGGGTCCAAACACAATAAAAAATTTATATACAAAACTTTTTTTAGCAATGATAAAAAATGCAATTTCAAAATTTTCTACATAATTTTATACACTTACAATAAATTTTCTATTTTTAGCAATCAGTTGTAAATATAGTAAAATCATTATTTTCTATTTTTAGAAACAGTTCTAAATAGATTAACAGGGAACTGTTGTATCTAGGTCATTATATAACAGGATAGGCAAAACAATACAAGTGACACATTATCTCTTTATCACACGCACTTATCCCCAATTTTGTCTTGTTGATATTAATAAAAAAATGTATTTTATGTCCAAAGTCCTTGAATATTTAAATGACCTTCATATTATTTAATGAAAATTGATCAATCTTATTTTTCATAGTAATACATAGAATTGATCATTATGTTAATTAATCAATCAGGTGTCAATTAGACATCAACATAAGACTTCTTATCTAGTAGGTTGTAGCTTGTCCCCCGTTATATTATGACCCAGGTTGTATGCAGGGACAGTACATGCGTTTATTGTTTAATCATTGGCAGAATTTATGTAGAAAATAATTGAAAATTATTTTTTTAAAGAGTTCTGTTTTTTAAAAATAGATCAAATACCAAGTTTAAAAATAGATGAATATCAGCATCTAGTTTTGTTATACACAAGTAAAAAAGTTTAAAAATAATACAAATGTAGGAATCTTAGACCATACAGTATACTGTACTGCTGAGAAATAAACTGAGCCATGCCATGGCAAAACCAACATAATGCGTTTGCGACCAGCATGGATTCAGATCAGCCTGCGCAGCAGTGCAGTCTTATCAGGATTCATGCTGTTTGCTATCAGATTCTCTACTTGTTATAGGGTTTGTAAGCGAACAGCATGGATCCTGATCAGACTGCGTGGATGCGTTATTTTGGTTATGTCGTGACATGTTACTGTTTATAAAAGAAGTTTTTTTTATGGAATATAAAATGATAGACCACAGTTTAAAGATATGAGACTAAAAGAAGCACTATAATAATATATAAGTGAAAATACAGTTCAACTGTTTTCTAATTTGTTAAAATAATTCAGATAAAATCATTGCTTTAAGTAAATATTCGAAATTAAAAATCATTATTTTTATTCACAAGACATGCCTTTTTTCTAAAACATAAATATTTCTTTTTTCTTAAAAAGCAAAAAAGAGGTCTAACAAAAATGATCTAAAAGTGACTTAAAACAATGTCACAACAATTCTAATAACCTTATAAGCATGTTAACTAGAATATGTAAACTGTGTATGTGTGTCACAAAAAAATAAAATACCAACATCTTGCATTATTTATCCATAACTCTTTAATTTGCACTTTTACCAGTTTTCAATCTCAGTCTCTGTAATGGAAATCTGTTTCTAATAACTTTGCAGATAAAAAGTGTATGTGACACAACACCTGTAAGAAAATGTTATTTGAAACTGCCATTTTAACCTTGCTTGCCTATGAATGACTTGTCACAATAATTATTTAACCTAAACCAATAACATACTTTACTTGTTTTGAACATAGCTACACTTTTCTGAGGATTTTTTTTTATCGTAAAAGTACATCTAACCCACTTGTGGAATGGATTTGCCCAGATTTTTACCTGGGATTTTCCATTGTTATTTTAAGGGATATCAATATATAAATACTGAAATAGACCACTATAGTCTGGATAAACTAACCTGATAACAAGTTGACATTAAGGCTTACACTCATAGAGTAAATAAAACACTAACCCTTCAAAATAAATATTCAATTTTTTCCAGTATATAACATGCACATTCGTTTGGTTTGTACTTTGTCACTTGTTCAGTTGTTGCCAATTTAGATGTTTTCAACCTATCCCCATATTCGTTCCACAATGTAAAAACTGACTTAATTATCTGTGTCAACCTTTAATATCAGTGATTATTAAAATTATCATATTCTCCTAGAATATTGTATTACCACATCTGCCTTAAAACGTGATCAGTATTTATAAAGGGAGATAACAAACATATCAATTTACTTTTTTTTCCAATTAAACAATGCAGTCATATAAAAACACCAGCTTCATCATAATTTCGAAAAAAAAATTCTACTGAATTTTCCATAAATGAATTGATTTTATAAAATGAATAAAAGTTGTAACTTAAATTCAAAACCAAATTATCCTTTTTATTTATAAAGATAAAAATGTTAAAAAATAAAATTTTGCATGCAAATTTACTTTTTAAAATCTCAATAAGTAAATAACACCTAGGACAAGTAAAATTCCTTAAAAAGTATTGTTGTTAAGATAACAAAGTTATTTATAGAACAAAGGTACAGATTAAAAAATTCACTTTGACTGTTTGAAAGAAGATAATAAAAATTATCATTTATAGAATTATAAATTGTTGACACTTAGATCACAAACACAACTTCAATGATATTCCAGTAACATTTTGTTTTATACATGTATACTAAATTCTTCATATTAGTTAATTGTTATTATGAGAAACCAGTTAATAGTAACTAACATCGACAATTTGTAGGATAAGTAGCTGTTGTTGTTAATTTCTTGTCTAAAATCTCATTACAGAAAATGATATACTTTGATATACATGTAAATCATCTTTAACTATAATATTTAAGGTCAAGACCTGGGTCAAAGGTCAGTAAGGATCTGAAAGTAAAGACCCATTAATACAATGTATAAGCGATTCTTACTATATATATTTTAGACTACAAGACACACTTTGCGTATTAGATGTAGATATGCCAAGTACCTGTATGAAAACTTGGGATTTAATGTTATTCTAAATAAATGAGAACAAAAAGTGAAAAACACCTATCTTAACATTGAGTTATATTATTAGTTATAAAGATCGTTGACAGGTTATATTGCCATATATAAACGGCTTTTTGTAAATATAACCCGAGCCGTTAGGCGAGGGTTATATAGCAAACAGCCATTTATATACGACCATATAACCTGTCAACGATCTTTATAACGAATTTATAATACAGCAAGCATCATTTTTAGAGACACAAATGTAGATTTCTTCATGAATCGGTAGCAGCCATGTATATAAAACTATATAAATCTCACGATTATCCAATGAAAAATGATGTTACAAACGTGCAGTATTATAATATACTCTCTAACTGGTGTATGTCAACTGTCTGAGCTGGTTCTCTAACTGGTGTTTGTCAACTGTCTGAGCTGGTTAACTCTCTAACTGGTGTATGTCAACTGTCTGAGCTGGTTAATATTTATTATACTGGCAGGTATCTAATTGTAGACATATGAAATCTAAATGCATTTAGTGTATTGTATTTCAAACTGACAAAGTTAAAAAGAAATTACTTCAGAAAACTGGTATAGAAAATGCTGTTGACAGATACAGTATAAGTGAATCACAAGCACTAAGTACTACATTATTATAAGATAAGCCGGCGTGGATGTGACATGTTCTCTGAGAGATGACGACTGTATGTATAGTTGATGACGGATGAACACACGCTCTAAGGTGGCTTAACGATACACTAAGATTGATATAACAGGTAGTTTTTCACTGAAGTTGGCAATGGTAAACGATGAATTTCTTGGAGACGATTTTTACCAAGATGTTGACGTATAACACGACGGCAGATATCTGTCAGAGGTAGAGGCTCAGCTGAAACAGAAAATTCTTATTGAGTAAAATTTTCAGAGAGTATACAGATTATCATATGATTACGAGCTGAAATCTTAGTATGATTTTATTTGAGAGGTGGCATGACAAAACCAACATGGTGCGTTTACAACCAGCATGGATCCAGACCAGTCTGAACATCTCCGCATTCTTATCAGGATCCATGCTGTTTACTATCAGTTTCTCTACTTGTAATAGAGTTTGGAAGCAACCCGCATGGATTCTGATCAGACTGCGCGGATGGGAAAGCTGGTCTGGATCAATGCTGGCCGCAAATGTTGGGTTTAGTCATGGCGTGGCTCAATTATATATATAAAATTCAAGTTTTTACTGACAGACCATACAGTACTGGGTCTTTTTTTTCTATGAGTATCTAAATTATAATAACCTTGTTTGCCTTTCTTTTGATAATCAATGGACAGAAATTCACAGTGAAGCATAACTTCTTGCACCCTTAATCATCATTGTATTATATAAAATACAGTATATTAAGACAATGTTTTACCTTTTAAAAATGTTTAAAAAATCACAAAGACACAATCGTATGTCACATAGCTATTTTAAGACAAAACTGTCAAAGGATATTATATTTAACTTTTAAGACAATAATTGGTCCTTGGTTAGAACACCTACCTTTAAGTTCAATAAGCTACCTGAGTAACTGTTAAGACATATATCTACAAATTTGTTCATATCTAGAAAATTGAATAAGGCCTAACAAGCTGGGGTATCGAGACATGATGTTTTTAACCGAAAAGCGCATGACAAAATTAAGGCTCCCACGTTTACAATTTTTTGTAAACGTTTACACGACTGCTAAGAACCGAAACGACACCGTTTAAACCATGGTACCTCTATGTACTATACACACCATGTATTTAAGTCGCCAAATGATGTCTTTCTTTATATTTTTAATTCATGTACAAATAAAGAATGTGCAAGGCTCATCACGATTGAGTCAGCACACATTTTTTGCATTGTAACCCCATTTTTTGCCAAAAATGTATTATGTCACGAGCAATTTTGCACGGTAATGCTGTGTGGAGGGTTGTAAACATCCATTTTCCGTTTGTTTACTTTGGAATAAAGCACTAGAATTGATAAAATTCTTGATTACAGGCAATGATTAAGAAATTTTGTAAGACAATATGGTCATTTCGATTAAACGGTAAACAATATCGTAAACGTTTATGAATGAAAATCGAAACGAATCCGTTTAAACGTGTAATCGTGGGGGCCTTAGACAAAATACATGAATAGCATACTTACGATCAAGACCCCCTATATATCGCATGGTGATTTCACAATGTCCCCATACTGCACTAACTATTGGGTAGAGCTTTTTGCCCTTCATTCCTCTAAATGCCACACCCAAATATTGTCCGTCTACCACAAAACTCAATGTACCTTCATCCATATCTAATACCGTAAGGAAACTATCTGGTACTACAAAGTTTTCATCAGAGTTCAGTAAGGTAGGGTATGTGACACCCGGAAAGTTTTTCACGTCATGGTACAATTTGTTACGCCCAAGATCCCACCCCCATGAATCACTGTTACTGCCGACTAGAGATTGATAACCTACACAATGTAAAGGAGCGTCAATTGTCGCCACGCCGACTACAGCGTGTGTTCCACGTTGCCGTGTACTCCAGTTTATTTCCCATACATGTAAACCTCGTGTGTAACCTACTTTACCCCTTATACAATCAGTACTTTGAGCTACAGGATGTCTATGAAATGTCATTTTATCATCGTCTTTTACAAATATATTTAATGATCTATCATCCGCGTTCCAACCATGTTCACTTTGTTGCTCTTTAGAAACTGGCGGCATGTCTAATAACATATCCAGTCTTGCTGGCTTTTGATAATCTGGATTGTAGGCTATTTCACGATTGATCCCCTTACAATGACTGGGTTCTCTAGAGGTGACGGTCTTGATTCCACCTGATACTTTTTGCCCCATGTTCATTCTCTGTATTTCTGGCTCTTTCACAATGAACAGGGAATAATAATCAAATATTAAACTAAGTATGAGTGAGTCTTGGTACTGTTTTATATCACTCCTGTCTATTCAACCCTCACTGTACCTCACAACTCGTCACAGTTGTTGATAACACTATCTTAACCTGAATAAAAAACAGAACCATTTAATCATTATTCCTAGGTTACTATAACATAAAATAATTTTGTTAAATTCAAAACTTCTGCAAAAATGACAATAAATAGATTGCTGCCATAACAACAAAAACTATTTTAGTTAAGATATCTACATATCAAAGAATAATGGAGTATAACTGAAATAAATATATGGCTTTGGTTTGTAATCTGACATCTAATTTTTTCTGTATTTAATTTTTTTTAAATGTGGTAAATTCGATAATTATCTAAGTCCAAAAAGGGCCACATTCTGTCAAAACACATGTTAGACTAATGGGCCTTGGACTTTATCCTCTCCAATAAGTGTGAGAAGTTTCAACCAACTGCCTTCAGTTGTAGGAAATACCAACTTGCACACAAAAACTTAACCAAAGTATGATGGTGATGCCAACACTGCAGGAGTAGAAAAGCTCTCATTATTCAGTGTTTATTCTAGGAGGGGGGATGGGGGGATTCACCCCTATTTTTGAGAATTCACTCTTATTTATTATTCCTTGAAGAATAAGAAATGTCATGTCTTATGAAATATTTTTATAATATATATCAACAGTCAGTAAAATTATACTGGTTCCAAAATATAATGGTCAATCCTGCAAAGAGTTGTAGCATAGACTGACTCTGTTATTTAACACCCATCAATATTGTACATAAACATAATTGTTCTGAAACAAAATATTTTTTTGTTAATTCAAACAGAGTTTTATCCATTTAGCATGATTCCATGCATGCCCCAGACATTTCTACAATATTTATTTCATACATCGTGCATTTTGTTACTAAGTATTTTTCTTTTACAATAATTTTTACAGAAGATAGCACACATACCACCTTCACCTCGGAGGTAGGGACATGGGCCTTAGACGCTACACTTCATCTTGAAGAAACAAGTTAATTTTAAATTCTTCAATTCATGCCAAAGTTACAATACGGAATGTGTACCTTTAAACTCTTCTTGTGAGAATGAGTACCTTCAAACTAAAAGAGTGACCTTGGCCTTTGAGGTAGAGACATGGGCCTTGGACATGACATGCATTATAATCTCTCAATCAGGATCATGGTCGAAATATCAGGATTTATTTAAAAATCCCATCAAGATATAACATTAGTATGTAATTGAATTTGGGGCTGAAACATCCATTTGCATCATTTACTATCATCCTTCAGTTCCTTCTTAATCTATATATTTATACAAAAAGATACTGTATATATACCAAAAATGGGCTAGACTTTAGAATATGTCTGCGTCTATTTTTAACATACATTTTACATAAATTCATTTCTTCAATATTTAACAGTTTATGTTTCTCTAAAATCAGTCAAATTACTTCTAAGATTACGGTTTAATAAGGTCAGTGTTATGGGTTAGGAGTTTGGGTTAGAGGGTTAGGATTATAAAACACGTATTTTACTGTGTACAGATTCTAGAAGTGCTCCCAGAAATGTTCTTCTTGACTTCATAAGTCCATAAATACTATTTTGGTATCACAGCATTCAAATTGTCAGTAAAATGTACTAGATATGAATTTATCTGATAATACCAATGGGAATAAATTTCCTTCATTAATGTCAACAATAACAGAATGTTTACAATTTAAATTCATAGTCAATTTATAAGCATTTTTAATGAGTTACACCTTAGAACTTAGAAGAAAAGAAACAATTTAATCAACAAATAATGTAGAGAAACCCCAAACTTTCCATTTACATAACTAAACAAAATGATAAACATTACCTTCCACACTCAGCACATGGTCACTAATCATGACTGATGATAATAATTGAACAAGAAAATGAATCACTCAAGGATTATTAACACAATGAAAATTCACAATTAAAACAAAACAGCGCTTTTGAAAATGACTTTCAGATACAAAAAGTGACAGAAAATAAAAAATATCATAACAAACACATTATTTATGGTTCTCTTAATTGAAAGATGAAGCCGTTTATCTTAAAAATCTAGCTAAGTCCCTTTGTTTTACTTTGTGTACATGACAACTTCCGGTTGGCATCTGGCTATGGAAAAATGACAAATAATTTTTCGCGATAAAAATTGCCAGTAACTGTGCATTTTCTACTTACTTTATTATTTTTGTCCAATACTTCAGATATTCTTCTTGGAAAATAACTTCATTTTTCTCCTGAAATACATCTTTGTAGAGAGAATTCGTTCTTTGTTTTCAACAAATTTCGTCCCCACCACACGCAGACAAAACCAATATGGCGTCCATGTAACCGATCGATAATTTCCGTTATTTGTCGTTTGTTTCCGTGAAACTTCGTAGATCTTTGCATAACGTTTGTGAAAGAGACAGGTGTTGCCTTGCGTGTTTTTAACCGCTAGGTAGGCTTAATCCCTAATTTGTGGCTATTTCCTTTGTCACCTTTGTTTTGACCACTTTGACAAAAGATGCGTGAGAAAAAAAGTAGATTCTAACAGCAACCATACGCGTGTATATATGTGCTATACTGAGATGTAAAGTGATGCAGATAAAAAAAAGGCCGTCAATTAATAATATAACGCATGTATTTGCCCTGGCTTCAGCTTTCATCTTATGTTTTGTCAATATATACATATAAACTATTAGATATTACAATTTCTAACAAAAAATATGTAATTAATTAAATGGACATTTAATGATTTAAAATTTATTTTAATATATTTTGATGCTGACGTACGTAGTGCTTCTACGGTGTTTTATTTAAAACAATATAGACATAACTTTTTATTACACCTGTTAAAATAGATTACATGTAATTCTTGTGAATGATAAAGATTTTTATTTCAATCAAGTCGACATTTAGTTATTCCAATTTGTTTGTCAACGGTTTACTTTTTGGCCTTCATTTTGGATCCGTGGTAATGGTAATTTTTTTATTGCTCGTCATCATGTTTCAGGTCATTTTTGTCCAACACCCTGGCCCATGTGGATTGTTTTTTTTTTCTCAATAAGTTTAATTGCATTATGTTGACTTAGTATTTTGTTTTTGGTAAATATTTATAATAATTAATACTTTATTTCTGAAGTTATTAGTCTATAAATCTATAGTTTATTAATGTTGACCGAATTTAATTTGCAGATATAATTCGAGATCATTCATTTACCTAATAAAATATTATTATTTAAATTTCTGGCTTGGTTTTCACTTTGTTAAAAACTTAATTAACAATAATTTAATTGTTTTCTATCATTAATATATTGCTCTCCGGAGATCGCCACTTTCCAGACTTAAAGTTGTGGCAGCTTGTAAAAAGGTAGCCCTGTATTTCATCTCACTGTTGTTACATATTTCTGGTCCTTCGAGATCACTGATTTCAAAACTGTAAGTTTTAAGGATTGAACAACAATGAAGCCGGTATTGGGGAGTTTTTGAATTTTCTCTCAATAAAACCGACTATGATTTTCAGTTATTTGTTTTTGCTGTCATTTCCCACAAAGGATATCCCCTTTGCAAAATTTTCTTAACAGAACATCTAGATTACGCCCCAAGTGAAACAAAACACAAACAAACTAGGTATGATATGAGTATTAAACTATTTCTAATCGTACACACTTAAATAAAAAAAATCGAACGTATACTATTATATACAAAGGCCCTACTGATATTTGGAGTGATAAAATGTTAGAGCTGATCATGAGCAGGATCATTCAAATATTTAAGAGACCATGAGTTGAGAGATGTAAACCACGTGCTAATTAACTCACACTGATTAATGTGTATTCACAACCCATAAAAAGAACTTTTAATATTAATATATGCATCAAATCCGCCGCATATATGTCACTACATATAATTAGCCATACAAGAGGAATAGTTAAAACAAATGAGGTTATAACGAAGAGAACATATCGTCGTCCTACTACTATTATTTATTATTGAAAATCGACAGTTTGGGGAGCATTAGTAAATCAATTAAACATTTCCTTATTTGCATAATTTCCTTCCTAATTTCAGTTATGTTACAAATTTGGAAATCCGAGCTTCTTTTTCTCTCTGATACCATCTCGTAGCATCCAAAGGCTAAGCCGAAGATCTATATGTAGTCCAACTGAAATTCCAAAAAACCTTCTGAAGAAAGGAGAACTAGACCAATACCCTTTAATTGAAATAGATGATGATAAGAAATAATATAGAGTCGTACCTGTGAAAGTGATACAATTTCATTGTGGAGAACAATTAATAAGATAAGATCAAACATTTCATGGGAACACCTTACAGATCAGGACTGCGACATCTGTTCCAGACTACACATTCAGCATACAGTTTTACTACTTTAAAGTAGCGTGCAATTCTTAATCCTTAATTATTTGAGATGTTTTCAGTTCCTTTAATTATGTCTAGAAAAGCTGGTTTTACATCAAACGGTAATTAAGTGTTGTGTAAGAAATAACATAAGTTTATTGCAGTACTTATTAAGTACTAACTAATATGTACTCACTAATATGTACCCGACTTGCGAATACCCGGATACTTGTCTATGTCATAGTACACTTTCTAAAATGTTCTTAATGATTGTTGTGATATCAAGAAAAGACAACTTTTTGAAGTTATTTCATACTATAGTGATTGTGTTACCTCCCTTCATTTTTAACATTATACTATAATACTTTGAATCCATAAAATAATTTGAAAAAAAAAACAACATCCTTACTGGGACGTAGTGAACGTATAATGAGGCAAACACATTTTTTGGAAATTTGACTGAATACGTTGCCGTGAAGAATCGATCGAAGCACCAGGGTGGCCATCCCACGTGATCTGTGACTTCAGGAATGATATGGAGTTGGATGGCGGAATACATAAATCAACCGATACTTACACATTTTCCAAGCTAGGTTTCTTATTTTAAAAAGAATTTTCAAAACGAATCGAAGATATGCAACTCTTTCACCGGAACAATAGTTTCAATCTCAAAAAGGTGTATTTTGTCCGCGGTTTTGAAATACTGGTATTTTCAAGGGAAAATCGTGATCTGGTGTGAGCGCAGTCTCGATTTATGTCATTTAATTGATTTAATTGGCCATCTCTTGGCATTTTTGTTTAGATTTCGATGTTACATAACTAATATAATTTACTGAAATTACGTTTACAATACTCTGATCGGAACAGAAATGGTTAATGATTTGGAGTTAACAATACTTTGATCGGAACAGAAATTAATGGTTCATGATTTGGAGTGAATCTCGAAATTTTATGATTTGGCGTAAAACAGTTTGAAGCAATTCTGGGCCTTATGCCAATACTTTTGGGCAGTTGGTTGACAAAATCTACGATATTTCATCTAATGTGAAATCTAGCACTTTTATGTCTTCACAAAGTCGTCTTGCATCTACACGTTATGATAGAATTTCCACCAAATTCGATTTTCTGCGATGGGAAAAGATAATCATTTCCAGTTTAACGGGTCTTTGTTTGACAAAAATGCTATATGTTACATTTTGTGTATTTTATCATTTTTAGTTTGTGACAAATCCTAATGATATGATATAAATGTAATACAGAATCTCGCATTCATTGCCATGAATTATAAAACGCTGCTTAACGAGTTGAAGAACTCGCCAAAGGGTCGCTTTAATTTATAAGGAAAATGATAAAACTTGTTATTATATGGCTACGTTTGTGAGGTTCTTTTTATCACATAACTAAACATATTACAATAAATGAAAATCAATTTGTTTCGATGTTTTTTTTTATCGCGCTTCTGTACGCCAATGTTATCCTGCCCGTTTGCAATATAATGAAATGCATAATTGTAATGCATGAGTATGACCATCAGAATTTGGGAATGAGAAATTTAGAAAAATAGGAAATTTAAACAAGCGCAGGAATTTAAAAGGATTCATGATGAAAGAGAATCATGATTGAAATAAACTGATGATAAGAGAGAATCTTTATTCTACATTTTTAGCTATCTAACACTGAAATTGAGTTCTTCACTTTAATTCGGGCACAGATAACACAACATTCAAATACACGTGTACTTGATTATAGGGCAGTAGGTTTCTAGAGATTAATACGTGTATAAAGAGCTATAACATATTTGTTACGTAAAGTAAACATAAATGCATTTCCTTCAATTATCACTACTAGATATCTTTATCATTTAATTCCTTGTATTAATTTGAGGCTATTTGTAATATTAGCCAGAAAAGTTTAAATCGACTTTCAAACGTACATCATACAAAAGATACAATTAATCATTTATAGATCGACGCGTACCTGCATCGAGGTGAGCTTTAATATGTCAAGGAAATCAAAGTTGAGAAAAATGCACTAAGATTTAATTTAAAAGTAAAAGTAAAAAGATTCAAGATTCGATTAATAATTTATATGCTACTGATTTTGAGGAATAAATTACGACATTTCTACTGCCTTACTAACGGGGTAATGTTTGCATATTTTGCATAGTTCTTTCTTGGTAAATTACATGGATTGTAAGCGCCATTTGTTTCCTTTGTTCACTTCACAATATTTTACTTTTAAATACCTTTTCAAAATTTTCATGAAAATTAGCTTTTATCTGGAGGCATGCCGCATGCTGCTTTAACCAGTTTCCCCACATATGCCCAGTTGACCTATTTATAGATATACATTAGGTTCAAAGGTTTAACAATAATAAAACAGTTTCTGCTATATTGAATTTGAAAAACAAGAGAACAGGAAAAATAATATTCTTTTACTATTGTTAACTGATTTAATTTAATCAAATCGGCCTTAAATACGGCCCAAATACATTTGCCCGACATGCACCTGCCTTGTCGGACGATTTATCCAACTTTATCCATATCTTTCGTTAGCCCATTTTAAATAGAAAGGTTAAACTGAATACTTTTATAGAACGATATCTCAAGGAATACGCATTGTGTTTTCTTCACTGCAAAAGATTGTCTCTCAGGGTTTACGTACATCTATAATTCAAGAATCATCATGGCCAAAAGTCTTTCCGACAGCTATATAAAGGTTAAAACAGAAGAGGAAAAGGTGGATTTTCTTACTATTGTTGACTGTTTGAGACATTATTCAAGTATTCAGGGTGATATAGAGGCTGTTGTCTTTGCATCTACGGATGGTACCAGGCAGGCTGTTACATGGAGAGAGTTGTACAATAATTCAATAAGTGTGGCGAAGTCGTTTATTCGTCTTGGTGTGAGGGAAATGGAGGTTGTTGCTATAAACATACGGAATTGTCCGGAATGGCTTTACGCAAATTTTGGAGCTATAATTGCCAGATCAATTCCAATCAGCGTATCGTTTACGTACGTCGACGGAAGTGACCTTGTAGCGTTGATGGAAAAATTGCAGACTTGTTCACTACTGGTCATGGATCCAGGTCTGCTAAATGTCAATTGGGATATCATCACAAGAATCATAGACACATACAGAGAAAATGGTACTGTAAAAAGTGTGCAAATCCCATACCTTCGATATTTGATAGGCGTTTCGTTTGATGATGTTGACGCACACGTTTTGAAATTTGATGACCTTATTAAAGATATCAATTCGGACATAGTTCTTCCAAGTTTAAGCTCAAAAGACACGGTATCGCTTTTCCAAACATCCGGAAGTACTGGAGTACCAAAAGTAGTGGCTCATACACACGAAAGCTTTTTAATAGGTATCACAGCGAAACTTGTTGAGCACATGGACCCAAAATATAAACAATTCAACGATCGCCCATTTGCATGGCTTGGTGGATATCCTTTATCAGTTATCACAGGGCAAACAAGGGTCACGATTTCTGGATTTTGCAAACCTCCAGAAGACAGAGTTTCATTTATGATAGATGTGATTGAACGAGAGAGATGTTCATCAGTATTTGCACTGCCTCCTTTGATGCATGAGCTAATTAAACGACAGGTAAAATTTAAACTAATATTTCTAAATTTGAAAAAAAAATCTAAGTTTGATAGCTAAGAAAAACAATGTGTTGTTAAACACTTTATGGTCTTTCTTAACACTTCTAGCGTTCCCAATTACATTCTACTTAAACCAATTCAAGGGACATAAGTGATGTTAGTTGAACAACGTTTGCCTTGCACCAGTCTGGCGGGGTCTATGCGGACATTACTATCCCAAATATAAATGTAAAGTCATATTTGACGCCTGTAACTTCATATAAGCTAGACTGTTGACTTCTAATCGTTAGAAATCATTATCTGCTATGATATTTTTAATCTGAAAAGTAATATTTGCTGAGATCTGATGCTCAGATGACAAACTGTGTTACATTATCCAGTGCAGTAATGAACAGGAAATCACTGGGGAGGTAGGGTAATCAAACACAGTTTCCGATGTCCACGTATACGTTAGTGTTTATTAAATAAACTTTTAGCAATTAAGAACAAAACAGAAAGCGACCGATTGTAAGCGACCGTTGGTTCTCTATTTTAATATAATTGTTAAAATTTTCACTTAATAAAAACTAAGTTACTTAGAGTTTAACTTTATTTGACCACACTGGAACGCCTCCAGCCTGTAAAAAGTTGATTATAAATACATTGGGCGAAGTTAAGGAACATATTTCATTTATCAATTATGTCTATCAATGTATGAATGGCAAACGTAAATCTGGTGGCTGAGTGCACATTATTTACATCGTATACCACTTAATTTCTTCAACGTTGCAATCTTCTGAAAAGTACCCTTACGTGAATGATTTTTGTGTTTGTGAGATATCAACCATAGATCTTCTATGCTGAAAGTTGAGGACACTTCTTTGTGATAAAAATGCAAAACCCCCCAAAGAATGTGAAAAGATGAGGGATCACTCTTTCTTTAGATATTTTTTTATCCTATGTATGTGCCTAACACTAACAGCTAGTGTGCAATACTAAGACAATTATTTAAATAACAATCATCATCCATTTGTGATTTACATATGTTAGTTCAAAATGAAAAACACATGTTTGGCATGGTGGCTGATTTGGAACGCTTTTGTGTGTCGTGTTGTCGCTAGCGACAGCACGACAAAGCGCCAAACGGCGATTTGTCATACCTCTGTCTTGTTGTCCTGTCGCTAATGATGCATGCCAAACAACGTGGTGTCGTGCGGCGTGTTGTCGTGATATCACATTGTCGCTTGGCTCAAATGGAAGGATTGACTTATAAGCCAAGCGACAGGGAAACATTACGACAACACGCCGTTTGAGTGCTTCGCTAGCGACAGGACGACAGTGCGACATTGCGCGTTTCCCTAGTGACATGGACGAAAAGGCGATAACGTTGTAGGTTGTGTTTTCGCTATCGACAACGTAACGCGCAAAGTGTACCAAATCAGCCATAATAGTTTGGGCCTGTCTATATTTTCTCTATAGCAGTATAAACAAAACGACCCCACCATAAAATAATAATAAATAAGTGACAAAATTTGCTCTCTGTACAATTAAAAAGGGAATTTTTGGAGTGATTTTATTGGTCGGCAAATGATGTTGAACACTAAATGGGATAATCCCATTGTCATACATCTTGCAATTATGTTAGTTCATTTAAAATGTTTTAGTATCGTCTTATTTAAGTATTGTGCATGGCTAGATTATCTGACTTTGGTGTTTATATGCTTGGTTTGTTTATCAAGGCATCTGAAACTTTGCTGTATTTCTTCCACAGAATGATCTACCCTCGGATTGGCCGGTGACAATTATCATGAGTGGCGGTCAGCCTATGACGAAGAGTACCGTTTCTTGCGTTGGGAAGTGTTGTAAATGTCTTCTTTGCATGTACGGTAGTACAGAGTTCGTCTGCCTGGCGAAAAATTTGGTCACAGACCCCGAAGACTTCACAGAATACTCATGTGGAAAACCAATACAGTATCCTGGATTGGAAATAAAAATTGTCAATGGCGATGGAAATATTGTTCCGGTCAATGAAAGAGGCGAAATATATTGCCGTTCACCTGTAATGTTCAAAGAATATTTCAACGACCCAGTAAAAACCAAGGCCTTTAAATCGGATGATGGATGGTTCAGAACTGATGATATAGGCAGATTAACCAAATGTGGAGAACTTTTTGTTGAAGGTCGGAAGTCCAACATGATACTTTCAGGTGGATTTAACGTAGCTCCTGAAATTCTGGAACAAGTGATGAAGAATTTCCCCGGTGTTGAGTCTATAGTAATCGTACCTGTCCCTGACGATATTTACTTCCAGGTATTGTGCGCATGCGTTGTGAAGAAAGCAGGAAATGACGTTACAGAAGAAGAGCTGCGAAAAGTTTGCTCTAATTACCATGCCGACAAGCCAGGGTTATTCACAGTCCTTCCAAAATTTTATTTGTTCTTTGAAAAATTTCCAGAAACAAGCACTGGAAAGCTGAATCGAAGAGAGCTTGAAAAGATTGCAGCTCAGCGTTTCAAATCTACGTCGTAGATATTTAGTATGTTGTTTTATTATATTAAGACTTTTTTTTAAGACAATGTTGCAGCTTTTATCGACATGTTTATTATTATGAATCTATTAAAAATATGCCATATTTGGAATTACAATGTACATTGACAGACGTGTCCTTGTTTTCTTTCAAACTTGTCTTAATCTTCATTACTTGATTTGCTAAACACATTAGTGAAATTGTGTTTAAGTCAGTCATTCATCCTTTGCATAATTCTGATGTTTTCATCAGTTTCGAGGGATCTCCCTTTTACAGATTTTTTCCCATAACGCAATTTTCGGTAACGTAAATCTTCACATCTTACAAAAGTAAGGGTTTAGATCTTCACATCCCTTCATTCGAATTAATTTCTTGATACTTTGGCAATGTCCGCTTTTCCCCCTAAATGAACTTATCTAAAGGCGACAACTTGATCACGACCTTAAATGAAAGCAATTTATTTGTGTGTGAAATAGAAGTGAGAAATGAGATGATCGAACTCGTGATTAGAGATATTGTGCAATCTCAACAACTTCTCAAACCAGGTTGTAAAAAAATGATTGCTAAGCTACTTCAAATTTTCTTCTTAAAACGTCGTTTCATCTATTCATACAATGGTTACGAGTTTTCGTGACTACATAAATCAAAGTGCTGCAGCACTGAATGCGACGGACATGCAACCGGGGAGACATTTAGGGTTTTTTTTAGAAAAAAAATACAACACAAAATGTATAACAGAGAAAATTTGTTCCATACAAGGAGCAATATATTTTGTGTCCCAATCTGATATAATCCAGAATTTCTACTTTCAAGCAGAATGAAATATATGCCTAAAACCCTGCAGACTGGTCAAACTTGTAAATCAGTGTCATTATCGATTTATTCCAAGAAATGATATGTAAATGGAAAAAAAACTTTCAACGACATATTTCTAAAATAAAACCATGCAAATAGACTTCAAGCATAATACATTATACCACGGATAAATCCGTGATTATACATGTGAGAATGTTATTTTGAATTGCTTCGTGTTTTAACATAGCGGGCATATACACAATAAAATATAAGTCATTTGTATTTTTATTTCTTTTGGATATGTACGTCTCATTAAAAATATTTTTGGTTAAAATCATCAGCAATTAATAGTCACCGTATTTTTTAGATTTTTTTTTATTTGCAAGGGCCAGAGCACATCGTTTTTATTTTAATCTGAATGTCACAATTTTTTTTAAAAGCACTATAGTGTTTAGTTGTCCTTTTCATTTTCACACTAAATTACATTTTCAACTTGTTTGCTTCTTACAATTGTATAGAATTTCTAAAAGTATTGTATGTGAACAAAGTAAGTATCCGCTGGTTTATAACATGTAAAATGTGTACTCCCTACTGTCCGAAAATCAGCACAGGTAAAGCAGAATCTATTTTTAGAATAGCGAAGGTTAACTCATATCGTGACCTAGAAAATGTATCTAATTTATTAATAACTGCTGAATATTCAGCTAAACCCGCGGTATGAGTCACGAAAATAGTTCTTCTTTTATTAATGCGCGAGTTATTCTAGAGTCCAAAAAACTTTTGATTTGTTAATAATAATGTTTTGTATAATGTTGAAATATTTATTTCCTACTAATAATTTCTTGGAACTCAGAGCTTACACCTTTATTATAGTATAATTTGCTGTCCTACTTTTTCGACAGCGGTAAATCGTTTCGGCAGTAATTTGCATAATTGCGCAATAATACTACGGGACTACAACGTTTTTATCAATCATATACGTCCATATTTTAACTTGGATAACTTAATTTGAGATTGAAAAGGCTAAATATGGAAGATTTTAAGATATCCCGACATAGTATGGGAGTTTTAAAGGATCAAATTCATGTACTTTTTCTTGGGCTGTTAATCGGTTGAGGACACTTTGCGCGAGTGTAGCAGACGAAATCCCATGTAGATGACTTAGCTCTGAACGCGCCTGAGGGCGCGTCCGTCGCAAAAATGAGCATGTCGCTATCACATTGACGTTGACCTACATAAATGATAAAGGTTTCGTTACAAGGGCAGATAAAAACATGTATTTTCCAATACATGTACTAGTATGTTATCAGCCGTTACCTTATGACTTAAGGTCAGATACGAAAACGAGAAAATCATTGCACAAATAATACAAAGGAAAGGAATTGACTTAGATCCGATCAATATATATTGTAATTTGATATGATATATGATTGTACATTTTCTTATATTGTAATTTGTAATTATACATTAGTGTACATTTTCTTGATAAAATATGTTTAAACTAAATTATGTACTGATATTTATTCGCCTGTGAAGCAGTCGAGTCTTATGTGATTTCGAATAAGACGCATGATTTACTGCAGAATGACACGATTTAGTCAATAAAAATACAACTACATAAAACATTCACATTCATCAGCTTTACACTTCGGAACTCATTTTAATTCTTTATTATGTTGCATAACATTTTTATGTTTGTTTTTTTTTGTAAACGGAGATAAGAAAACATTGCTTTTTATTTGAAGAAAATGTCAATAAAAATGTTTTGTAACAAAGCAAGAAATTTTAAACTGTTCCTGAAATGTAAAGTTGATGAATGTGAATGTTTTTATGTACTTTCTATTTATTGACGACTCGCAAAGTAAATTGTGTCATTCCGCAGTGAATCATGTGTCTTATTTAAAATCCTTTAAGACTCGGCTGCTTCTCAAGCGAATAATATACATAGTGCACAATTATTGGTTAGCTTTCCCTAAGGCATTGACTTTAAAGCGAACCAGTCGTGTCACAGTATAAAAAGAGAACTTGTATATAAGTTATGGTATTTCCGTCCCCTTTAATTTCAATTTCCACAACTGTGCAGATCGAAACAGTCATTCGTAAAGGTAGTATTTTATTCAGGTATTCTCAAGGTTTGCATTGCATAGCTGATCATTACTCCGCAGCAATTTTTACGTGTGCGTAAAACCTCGATTGTTGTTTAACATAGAGATGCGGCGGTAAATTGCATCAATTAAATGAACAAGTTAAATGTTGAATCTGCACATCAAAGACGCCGCCAAATGATGTGAATAGTCAATCAACATTGAAAATCGTTCTCTATTTCAGTTGAATATCCGAAGCACAAATCATTTTTTCTCCATGTTCTTGGTATGTGCTCGTTGTTTAATAATTAAGTTGCATATTTTTGTGAAAAAATATAATTTAATTCACAAATTCACAAAGCATTGCCATGTCTGAAATTCTCCCCATTGCTGTATGGGAAAATGCATATCTACTAGACGCCTCATGGGCGTTAAATGATCGAAGACTTAATAAAATGTCAATATTTTTAGAACTGTCCTTCCCTTGGCACGATGCCCCACTAGAGCCTTGGTCCAATTTGGCTAGATAATGTGTGGACTGTGTTACACCATGAAGATATCTGCTATCATGTTTAGCATTTCCAAAGAACAATTTATAGTATAATTTAATGCATTGTAGCGTTAGTAAACTAAAATACGATCGTAATTATGTGTGTGTATGATAACTAATAAATTATGCAAGTTACTCAGTAGGCTACCTTCTGCCGACTTAGGTTAAAAAGATAACACATTCAAACACTATACAAGATTGTCGGTTCGTGCTGAACATTTACAAATAAACTTTTCACCATGGCAAACGATCTCATCGACAGTTATGTTAAAATAATAGTTGAAGATGATATACATTCTGAATTTCTTACAATTGTGGACTGTTTAAAGCATTACGCAAACACTCAGTCTGAGACTGAGGCTTTCGTCTTTGTATCAACGGACGGTTCAAGGCAATCTGTAACATGGAGTGAGTTGTACAACAAGTCTAAAGCTGTCGCAAAGTCGTTTATGCGTCTTGGTGTGAGGAAAATGGAGGTTATTGCTATAAATATACGGAATAGTCCGGAATGGCTTTACGCAAATTTTGGAGCTATTATAGCCGGAGCAATTCCAATCAGCGTATCGTTTACGTACGTCGACGGAAGTGACCTTGTAGCTTTGATGGAAAAGTTGCAGACTTGTTCACTACTGGTCATAGATCCAGGTCTGCTAAATGTCAATTGGGATATCATCACAAGAATCATAGATACATACGGAGAAAATGGTACTGTAAAAAGTGTGCAAATCCCATACCTTCGATATCTGATAGGCTTTTCGTTTGATGATGTTGACGCACACGTTTTGAAATTTGATGACCTTATACAAGATATCGATTCGGACATATGCCTTCCAAGTTTAAGCTCAAAAGACACGGTATCACTTTTCCAAACATCCGGAAGTACTGGAGTACCAAAAGTAGTGGCTCATACACACGAAACCTTTTTAAAAGGTATCACAGCGAAGCTTGTTGAGTATATGGACCCAAAATATAAACAATTCAACGATCGCCCGTTCGCATGGATTGCTGGATATCCTCTATCAATTATCACAGGGCAAACAAGGGTCGTGATTTCAGGATTTTGCAAACCTCCAGACGACAGAGTTTCATTTATGATAGATTTGATTCAACGAGAGAGATGTTCATCAGTATTTGCACTGCCTCCATTGATGCATGAGATCATTAAACGACAGGTAAAATTTAAATTAATATTCTAAATTTGAAGAAATCTAAGTTTGATATCTAAGGGAAAAATGTGTTGTTAAACATTTTCTGGTCTTTCTGGCTTTCTGGATAAATGCCCTTAACACTTCTAGCGTTCCGAATTTTATTCTACTTAAACCAGTGCAAGGGATATACCGGTAAGTGATGTCAGTTGAACAATGTTTACTTTGAATCAGTCTGGTGGGGTCTATGCTGACATTGTTTATGTTGCATTTGTCAATACAGCCAAAGAACCTGCTATTTTCGCCCATTTCATATATAGTTGTTATATTCAATTGTCTCGGGGAAACTAACTTTATCAGACTTTATGTTTACTATCCCAAATAATGATGTAAAGTCATATTTGACGCCTATTTACTATCCAAAATATAGATATAAAATCATATTTGAACGCTGTAAAGACTTATATATAAACTTCATATAAACTAGACTGTTGACTTTAATCTTTAGAAATCATTATCTGTTCTGATATATTTTTAATCTGAAAAATACTATTTGCTGAATCTGGTGCTCAGATATGGGCTGTGTTGCATTTTCCAGTACTGTAATGAAAAGGGAATCACTGGGGAGGTAGAGGAATCAAACCCATGTCTACGCATACGTTAGTGTTTATTAAGTAAACTTTTAACAATTAAGAACACAAAAAGAAAGCGACCGGTAGGGAGCGACAGTTGGTTCCTTGCTGTTTAAATTTTCACTTAAATCTTACTTAGAGTTTAACCTCATTTGACCACACTGGAACGCCTCTAGCCTGTAGAAAGTTAATTATAAATTTAAAATACATTGGGTCGAGTTGAGGAACACATTTCATTTACCAATTACGTCCACCAATATATGAATGGCGAAAGTAAATCTGATGACAAAGTGAACACTATTTACATCGTGTGCCACTTAATTTCTTCAACGTTGCAAACTTCTGAAAAATACCTCTTTGTGCATTACTTGAAAGGTATTTAAATGATAATCATCTTCTGTTTGTGATTAACTTTGTCAGTTCAAAATGAAAGGCAAATGATTGGGCTTGTTTATATTCTCTCTATGGGCGTATATATAAAACGAGCTCGCCATAAAATAATAATAAATAAGTGACAAATTTGCCTGTCTGTACAATTAAAAAAAGGGGCATTTTTGGAGTGATTTTATTGGTCGGCAAATGATGTTGAACACTGAATGAGATATCCCCTTTTCAAACATATTGCAATAATGTTAGTTCATTTAAAACTGTTGTAGTATCCTAAAATTTAAGTTTCGTGCATGACTAGATTATTTGACTTTGGTGATTATATGCTTAGTTTGTTTATCAAGGCATCTAAAACTTTTCTGCATTTTTTCCACAGAATGATCTACCCTCGGATTGGCCGGTTACAATTATTATGAGTGGCGGTCAGCCTATGACAAAGAGTATCGTTTCTTGCGTTGGAAAATGTTGTAAATGTTTTCTTTGCATGTACGGTAGTACAGAGGTCGTCTGCCTGGCGAAAAATTTGGTCACAGACCCCGAAGACTTCACAGAATACTCATGTGGAAAACCAATACAGTATCCTGGACTGGAAATAAAAATTGTCAATGACGATGGCAAAATTGTCCCGGTCAATGAAAGAGGCGAAATATATTGCCGTTCACCCGTAATGTTCAAAGAATATTTCAACGACCCAGTAAAAACCAAGGCCTTTAAATCGGATGATGGCTGGTTCAGAACTGATGATATAGGCAGATTAACCGAATGTGGAGAACTTTTTGTTGAAGGTCGGAAGTCCAACATGATACTTTCTGGTGGATTTAACGTAGCTCCTGAAATTCTGGAACAAGTGATGAAGAATTTCCCCGGTGTTGAGTCTATAGTAATCGTACCTGTCCCTGACGATATTTACTTCCAGGTATTGTGCGCATGTGTTGTGAAGAAAGCAGGAAATGACGTGACAGAAGAAGAGCTTCGAAAAGTTTGCTCCAATTACCATGCCGACAAGCCAGGGTTATTCACAGTCCTTCCAAAATTTTATTTGTTCTTTGAAAAATTTCCAGAAACCAGCACTGGAAAGCTGAATCGAAGAGAGCTTGAAAAGATTGCAACTCAGCGTTTCAAATCTACGTTGTAGATATTTAGTATGTTGTTTTATTTTTTAAGACTTTTCTAAGACAATGTCGCAGATTTTATCGACAGTTTTATTATAATGGATCTATTATAAATATGCCATATTTGGAATTACAATGTACATTGACAGACGTGTCCTTATTGTCTTTCAAACTTGTTTTAATCTTCATAAACACATTCATCTTAAGGTTACAACTTGAACCCCATCTTAATTGAAGGCACGACATTATTGTTGTGCTTGTGGTATTTATAGTTTCAACTTTTCGGCATTTTCTAGTTGGGTGGTTCCAATATTCCTACTTGAATAATGTTGAATCACCCTTAGGATATGTTGCCTGCTTTTTAAATTTGTCTTTTGACGTCTTATCTGTGATACGCAGGCTTCATAACCTCTGATCCCCTTTCAAAATTCCATATTATTTAGTTCCGCCCATTGTTTTCTCGTTTAGGGCACACACTTTTTATTACTTGGGGACCATACGCCGCTTTTCATGGAATGGCACGGAAGTGTCACATTGAAGGTTCCATGTTTACCGCCGTATGAACACATCTGCGGATGTTTCTAAATTCAAAATTTTACTATTTCATGTTTAAATGTTGAATTCTGCTTAAGCCGGTGCTAGGGGGCGTGGACGGTAATTTGCACTTTCCAGTACCGTCCATGAACAGGCTCAATCAAACCGAGCCTGCAACATTTTCAATTTTGCCGTGTTGGGCTTTCTTTAGGGATTCTGTGTTTATCTATTGTTTGCCTGTACGCCAATTTATTTGTGTCAGAAATATCATTGAGAAATGAGATTGAGAAATGAGATGATCGACCGCCTCCGTGGTCGAAGGGTTAGAGACGATGACTTCTTATCAAGTTACCTCTCTGGCGAGGGTTCGATCCCCGGGAGATGCTTTGGCACGGAGTTTAGCACGGAGGAAGGTAGTCTAGTACTGGTGTAACTCTCCAGGAACGATGGTTAGGAAACTGCCCGCCTGTATGACTGAAATACTGTTGGGAAAAGGCGTAAAATGAAACAAACAAATGAGATGATCGAGCTCTGTATTAGAGAATTTAATTATGCAATCTCAACAACTTCTCGACCCAGGCTACAACAACAGATTGCTAAGCTTCTACAAATTTTCTTCTTAAAACGCCGTTTCATCTATTCACACCATGCTGACTACATAAAATGTTACAATCACATTGACGTTGTGCCTATATACACATAATAAAGGTATCTTTACAAGAACAGATAAAACATGTATTATTCAATACTCGTATGTTATCAGCTGTTACTTTATGACTTAAGTTCAGGTACGAAAACGAGAAAATCATTCCGGAAATAAATCAAAGGATAGGATTACTTGTTTTCGAATCAGTAAATATTGAAATTTGAAATGATACATGATTGTATATTTTCTTGGTTAAATATGTTTAAACTAAAGAAATGTACTGATATGTATAGCCTAACAGAGATGTGGCACGTACACAGTATCAGGTATATCAATGATCTTTAAGCACACCTGAAGACATAATGATATGACAATAATTTTGTTGAAACTGCCCTTCTTTTCTTACAATGCCCCACTAGTGCCGTGGTCCAATTTGGCTGGATAATGTGGGAACTGTTTTACACCATGTAAATATCTGCATTTCTCAAGAACAATTAGTTAAGAAATAATATATCCCAAACTCAATAAAATCAATGTTTAGAGTTCGGATGCCAGGAATTATATTACGAGGGGGTAGCCCGAGTGATTTAATTATGCGCATCCGAACGACAAACATTGATTTTATCAAGCAATAAAATCACCGATTTGGATATATTACTTCAATTTAAACACGACTACAACAAATAAATGCTCCCGTTCCTGATATTAAGCTTAATTGCGCCTAATTTGTTTTCATACTTATTTTCAGCGCGTCGCACTTTTAGTGGTAACGTCACATGAATATAATTATTACGTCATATGCCTAAATATGGAACGTCAACAGAGATTTTATTGCATAATAACACACACTTTTGGTTCTTCTATGTTCAATAGGGAAACATGTGGGTCGTGTTAGAATATTAATTAATGCATTGTAACGCTAATAAACTAATATACGAACATATTTGTGTGTGTGTGTGATAACGTAATAAATTATGCAAGTTTCTCAGTAGGCTATCTACAGCCGATTTAGGTTAAAAAGATAACACATTCAAACACTACTGTATACAAGATTGTCGGTTCGTGCTGAACATTTACAAATAAACTTTTCACCATGGCAAACGATCTCATCGACAGTTATATTAAAATAACAGTTGAAGATGAGATACATTCTGAATTTCTTACAATTGTGGACTGTTTAAAGCATTACGCAAACACTCAGTCTGAGACTGAGGCTTTCGTCTTTGCATCAACGGACGGTTCAAGGCAATCTGTAACATGGAGTGAGTTGTACAATAAGTCTAAAGCTGTCGCGAAGTCGTTTGTTCATCTAGGAGTAAAGGAAAAGGAGGTTGTAGCTATGAACATAAGGAATTGTCCGGAATGGCTTTACGCCAGTTATGGAGCTATAATTGCCGGAGCAATTCCAATAAGCGTATCGTTTACGTACGTCGATGGAAGTGACCTTGTGGCATTGATGGACAAATTGCAGATTTGTTCACTACTGGTCATGGATCCAGGTCTCGAGAATATAAATTGGGATATTGTACGAAGACTCCTAGATAATTTTAACGCTAATGGTACTGTAAAAAGTAGTAAAATGCCTTATCTTCGGTATTTGGTCGGCGTCTCATTCGATCAGGTCGATGCTCAACTTCTGAAATTCATTGACCTTGTTCATGACATCAAGTCTGGTATTACTCTTCCAAAAGTAAGTGCAAAAAATACAATTTCACTTTTCCAAACGTCAGGAAGTACCGGAGTGGCAAAACTTGTTGCTCATAGTCATGAAGCCTTTTTTAAATGTGTCACAGGAAAACATGCTGAATATTTGGACGCCAAATACAAACATTTCAACGATCGCCCATTTGCATGGCTTGGTGGATATCCTTTATCAGTTATCACAGGGCAAACAAGGGTCGCGATTTCTGGATTTTGCAAACCCCCAAAAGATAGAGTTTCATTTATGATAGAGGTGATTCAGCGAGAGAGATGTTCATCAATAGTTGCACTCCTCCATTGATGCATGAGCTAATTAAACGGCAGGTAAAAATTAATCACATGTATATTGATGAAAAAAACTATTTTAAATCATGTCATTCAAATAAGACCCTTGAACTTGCTATGATTTGTTATGAAATTGCAGATATACCATGTTAGTTATTTTATATTTTATTGTTTATTCGATGTCAAGTAATATGGAAACATTGTAAACGTTCAACAAGACAAAAACAGAAAATAATGCATTGGCGATTTAAGATTTTTAAAAACGTTATATTAAAAATTTGGATGCATTTTGTTACAGAGTGATCTACCCTCAGATTGGCCAGTAATTATCATAGCAAGTGGTGGTCAGCCTATGACGAAGAAAATCACATCGTGCATTGGAAAAAGCTGCAAATATCTTCTTTGTATGTATGCTGCCACAGAGTTTGTTTACCTTGCAAAGTCTTTGATCGCTGATCCTGAAAACTTCACAGAATATTCATGTGGGAAACCCATGCAGTTTCCTGGACTGGAAATAAAAATTGTCAATGACGATGGAAAAATTGTCCCAGTCAACACAAGAGGTGAAATATACTGCCGCTCACCAGCACTGTTCAAAGAATATTTCAACGACCCAATAAAAACTAATGCCGTGAAATCGGTAGACGGATGGTTCAGAACTGATGATATAGGCAGATTAACCGAATGTGGAGAACTTTTTGTTGAAGGTCGGAAGTCCAACATGATACTTTCAGGTGGATTCAAAGTGGCTCCTGAAATTCTGGAACAAGTGATAAAGAATTTCCCCGGTGTTGAGGGTGTAGTTATCGTACCTGTCCCTGACGATATTTACTTCCAGGTATTGTGCGCATGCGTTGTGAAGAAAGCAGGAAGTGACGTGACAGAAGAAGAGCTGCGAAAGGTTTGCTCCAATTACCATGCCGACAAGCCAGGGTTATTCACAGTCCTTCCAAAATTTTATTTGTTCTTTGAAAAATTTCCAGAAACAAGCACTGGAAAGCTGAATCGAAGGGAGCTTGAAAAGATTGCAACTCAGCGTTTCGAATCTACGTCGTAGATATTTAGTATGTTGTTTTATTTTTTTAAGACTTTTCTAAGACAATGTCGCAGCTTTTATCGACAGTTTTATTATAATGGATCTATTATAAATATGCAATATTTGGAATTACAATGTACATCAAAATGACAGACGTGTCCTTATTGTCTTTCAAACTTGTTTTAATCTTCATAAACACATTCATCTTAAGGTTACAACTTGAAACCCATCTTAATTGAAGGCACGACATTATTGTTGTGCTTGTGGTATTTAGTTTCAACTTTTCGGCATTTTCTAGTTGGGTGGTTCCAATATTCCTACTTGAATAATGTTGAATCACCCTTAGGATATATTGCCTGCTTTTTAAATTTGTCTTTTGACGTCTTATCTGTGATACGCAGGCTTCATAACCTCTGATCCCCTTTCAAAATTCCATTTTATTTAGTTCCGCCCATTGTTTTCTCGTTTAGGGCACACACTTTTTATTACTTGGGGACCATACCCCGCTTTTTCATGGAATGGCACGGAAGTGTCACATTGAAAGGTTTCCATGTTTACCGCCGTATGAACACATCTGCGGATGTTTCTAAATTCAAAATTTTACTATTTCATGTTTAAATGTTGAATTCTGCTTAAGCCGGTGCTAGGGGGCGTGGACGGTAATTTGCAACTTTCCAGTACCGTCCATGAACAGGCTCAATCAAACCGAGCCTGCAACATTTTCAATTTTGCCGTGTTGGGCTTTCTTTAGGGATTCTGTGTTTATCTATTGTTTGCCTGTGCGCCAATTTATTTGTGTCAGAAATATCATTGAGAAATGAGATTGAGAAATGAGATGATCGACCGCCTCCGTGGTCCGAAGGGTTAGAGACGATGACTTCTTATCAAGTTACCTCTCTGGGCGAGGGTTCGATCCCCGGGAGATGCTTTGGCACGGAGTTTAGCACGGAGGAAGGTAAGTCTAGTACTGGTGTAACTCTCCAGGAACGATGGTTAGGAAATTGCCCCGCCTGTATGACTGAAATACTGTTGGGGGGGGGGGAGGCGTAAAATGAAACAAACAAATGAGATGATCGAGCTCTGTATTAGAGAATTTAATTATGCAATCTCAACAACTTCTCGAACCCAGGCTTCAACAACAGATTGCTAAGCTTCTACAAAATTTTCTTCTTAAAACGCCGTTTCATCTATTCACACCATGGTGACTACATAAAATGTTACAATCACATTGACGTTGTGCCTATAAACGCATAATAAAGGTATCTTTACAAGAACAGATAAAACATGTATTTTCCAATACTCGTATGTTATCAGCTGTTACTTTATGACTTAAGTTCAGGTACGAAAACGAGAAAATCATTCCGGAAATAATTCAAAGGATAGGATTTGACTTGTTTTCGAATCATTAGATATTGAAATTTGAAATGATACATGATTGTATATTTTCTTGGTTAAATATGTTTAAACTAAAGAAATGTACTGATATGTATAGCCTAACAGAGATGTGGCACGTACACAGTATCATATATATCAATGATCTTTAAGCACCATGAAGACATAATGTTATGACAATAATTTTGTTGAAACTGCCCTTCTTTTCTTACAATGCCCCACTAGTGCCGTGGTCCAATTTGGCTGGATAATGTGGGAACTGTTTTACACCATGTAAATATCTGCATTTCTCAAGAACAATTAGTTAAGAAATAATATATCCCAAACTCAATAAAATCAATGTTTAGAGTTCGGATGCCAGGAATTATATTACGAGGGGGTAGCCCCGAGTGATTTAATTATGCGTATCCGAACGACAAACATTGATTTTATCAAGCAATAAAATCACCGATTTGGATATATTACTTCAATTTAAACACGACTACAACAAATAAATGCTCCCGTTCCTGATATTAAGCTTAATTGCGCCTAATTTGTTTTCATACTTATTTTCAGCGCGTCGCACTTTTAGTGGTTACGTCACATGAATATAATGATTACGTCATATGCCTAAATATGGAACGTCAACAGAGATTTTATTGCATAATAACACACACTTTTGGTTCTTCTATGTTCAATAGGGAAACATGCGGACCACGTCGTGATAGAATATTAATTAATGCATTGTAACGCTAGTAAACTAATATACGAACATAATTATTTGTGTGTGTGTGTGATAACGTAATAAATTTTGCAAGTTTCTCAGTAGGCTATCTACAGCCGATTTAGGTTAAAAAGATAACACATTCAAACACTATACAAGATTGTCGGTTCGTGCTGAACATTTACAAATAAACTTTTCACCATGGCAAACGATCTCATCGACAGTTATATTAAAATAACAGTTGAAGATGAGATACATTCTGAATTTCTTACAATTGTGGACTGTTTAAAGCATTACGCAAACACTCAGTCTGAGACTGAGGCTTTCGTCTTTGCGTCAACGGACGGTTCAAGGCAATCTGTAACATGGAGTGAGTTGTACAATAAGTCTAAAGCTGTCGCGAAGTCGTTTGTTCATCTAGGAGTAAAGGAAAAGGAGGTTGTAGCTATGAACATAAGGAATTGTCCGGAATGGCTTTACGCCAGTTATGGAGCTATAATTGCCGGAGCAATTCCAATCAGCGTATCGTTTACGTACGTCGATGGAAGTGACCTTGTGGCATTGATGGAAAAATTGCAGATTTGTTCACTACTGGTCATGGATCCAGGTCTCGAGAATATAAATTGGGAAATTGTACGAAGACTCCTAGATAATTTTAACGCTAATGGTACTGTAAAAAGTAGTAAAATGCCTTATCTTCGGTATTTGGTCGGCGTCTCATTCGATCAGGTCGATGCTCAACTTCAGAAATTCATTGACCTTGTTCATGACATCAAGTCTGGTATTACTCTTCCAAAAGTAAGTGCAAAAGATACAATTTCACTTTTCCAAACGTCAGGAAGTACCGGAGTGCCAAAACTTGTTGCTCATAGTCATGAAGCCTTTTTTAAATGTGTCACAGGAAAACATGCTGAATATTTGGACGCCAAATACAAACATTTCAACGATCGCCCATTTGCATGGCTTGGTGGATATCCTTTATCAGTTATCACAGGGCAAACAAGGGTCGCGATTTCTGGATTTTGCAAACCCCCAAAAGATAGAGTTTCATTTATGATAGAGGTGATTCAGCGAGAGAGATGTTCATCAATAGTTGCACTCCCTCCATTGATGCATGAGCTAATTAAACGGCAGGTAAAAATTAATCACATGTATATTGATGAAAAAAACTATTTTAAATCATGTCATTCAAATAAGACCCTTGAACTTGCTATGATTTGTTATGAAATTGCAGATATACCATGTTAGTTATTTTATATTTTATTGTTTATTCGATGTCAAGTAATATGGAAACATTGTTAACGTTCAACAAGACAAAAACAGAAAATAATGCATTGGCGATTTAAGATTTTTAAAAATGTTATATTAAAAATTTGGATGCATTTTGTTACAGAGTGATCTACCCTCAGATTGGCCAGTAATTATCATAGCAAGTGGTGGTCAGCCTATGACGAAGAAAATCACATCGTGCATTGGAAAAAGCTGCAAATATCTTCTTTGTATGTATGCTGCCACAGAGTTTGTTTACCTTGCAAAGTCTTTGATCGCTGATCCTGAAAACTTCACAGAATATTCATGTGGGAAACCCATGCAGTTTCCTGGACTGGAAATAAAAATTGTCAATGACGATGGAAAAATTGTCCCAGTCAACACAAGAGGTGAAATATACTGCCGCTCACCAGCACTGTTCAAAGAATATTTCAACGACCCAATAAAAACTAATGCCGTGAAATCGGTAGACGGATGGTTCAGAACTGATGATATAGGCAGATTAACCGAATGTGGAGAACTTTTTGTTGAAGGCCGAAAGTCCAACATGATACTTTCAGGTGGATTCAACGTGGCTCCTGAAATTCTGGAACAAGTGATGAAGAATTTCCCCGGTGTTGAGGGTGTAGTTATCGTACCTGTCCCCGACGATATTTACTTCCAGGTATTGTGCGCATGCGTTGTGAAGAAAGCAGGAAGTGACGTGACAGAAGAAGAGCTTCGAGAAGTTTGCTCCAATTACCATGCCGACAAGCCAGGGTTATTCACAGTCCTTCCAAAATTTTATTTGTTCTTTGAAAAATATCCAGAAACAAGCACTGGAAAGCTGAATCGAAAAGAGCTTGAAAAGATTGCAAATCAGCGTTTCAAATCTACGTCATAGATATACTTTCGTAGCTAAATGCAATTCGTTTGATTTTAGACAATGTATCAGCTAGTTATAATGGCTGATATTGTGTCTACGCAAGACGTCAATGTATTTTGTGTTTAAAACATAGGTCTTCTTAAGCAGTATACTTGGATTATCTGTTTTCATATTCGTATGTATTGTTAACTATTTTTATTTTAATTTATCGTTTATCCTTATACATGTAGTACTGGTCTGAAAGCAATGTATTTAAAGTTCAGTTCTTCTGATGTTTTGCATATAACGCATTTTATTTAGGAGCCGTTTTTTGATCACACTTAATCAGGACTTGGATAAGATAACAGTTATTGCTACTTAACATAGTTATTTATTCTGAATATTCAAGGTCACGGAATAGGGTACACTAAAATAGCGTGTGTGTTTATGTAATATATTTGTCTTAAACACTCCTATGAATAAAATAAAGTCATTGTATTATCAAGACATTCTATGTTCTGAAATGTATTCCACTAAACAGTTGATTGCATAACTTAAAAAATGTTTTGTATTTATTGCACACTGTTAAATGTTCTTGTTTTGAGCTCTTCATTTTACCAATGGTCTGAAAACCTTCTATTCATTTCTTCTTATGTTTAACATAATGTGATACTTAGTTAAGGAGACGTTTCCGATCAGATTGGATCTGTTAAAGGACTTTGAGATAACAGTTTTTTATTGCTTCTTAAACTTCTTAAACACAACAGTTATTTTCTAAACGTTCAAAATCAGTTACGGTTATGCATTGTTTCATAGGAGTGCGCTTACAATAATTCTGTGATATTTTTTATATATATGGTCAAACCTGTGGTAAATATCAAATGAGAACAAAGACCATCCTGTAAATAAAGGTCAGTTGTTGACAACACTTCCTGAATCCAATAGCACATAGAAATCTCCAAATAAAGACCATTTGTCTATAAAGGCCACATTTGTAATGTGACCATTGGTCACATGTCTGACTGTATATGTAATATATTTGTCCTTTGCACTGTTCAAGAGAATAAAATGATATAAGTAATAGAAAGAGCATTGAAACACGAGGCTTTCTGATGGTACTATATGATTTTATAAATAAGTTATCGTGTTATAAAGAAATGATATGTTCTTAATTGCGTTCCACAAAACATTTCGTCACATAATAAATTAATAATTGTAATTATGCAAATACTTAATAACATTGTTGTGAGCGTCTTACAAAAGCCCATTGTCGGATACCCTCGGCCGAACCATTAAAAATTACCGTGAGTTTCCGACGATGACAAAAGCCGAATAGTGTTTTTTCGAACAATTAAGTATATCTCGTAATTACTAGATATCAAATCGGAATAACAAAATAATATCTTAATAAGGATCACGTTATAACAAATTGTATTGCATAATCATGACATAGTATCTCGTTTTTAGAGTAAGATGTTTTATCTCGCAATTACGACATAGTCTGAAGGACAATGTTCTCATAAATACGAGATACCATGTTGTGATAACAAGATAAATCTCTCGTTATTACGACTTAAGATCTCGCAATAAGGTTACAATCTGTTCAAAAAAGTATTTATATGAGCAAATGCTCAAGGGAAGAACCGAGCCTAACTTACTTACGGTAACGTTTACCATCACTCATAAAGAGTGTGTCTGGGTGGGGGGGGGATAAGGCAGTAGAATGATGAAAGGGAATAAGATATTTACCAGGGATAACATATTATAGTATACAAGACATGCTTGTAAAATAGAGGGAAATAAAGAATCCATAAAGAACGCAAAAAACAGCAAAATTGAAAATGCTGCAGGCTCGGTTACACTGTGTAAATGTTCCACCGTCCACGCTCTTTAATTAGCACGTACCGGTTATTAACACTACATATTTCAAGCAAAATTGGTACATATTTGTAGTCCGTGATTCGCAAAACGAGCTTATTTAAAATTCTTATATAAACTTACGTAAATAATTTTAAAAGACGCAAAGCCTATGGAATTTATTATTATGGATTTTTAAATATGGCTGCATGACACCAGCTTAGGATCGGTTTTTGGTCGCTAAGGCACATCGTGCAGGTTATCGACAGGAATTTCTCTTCGAAATGACCTTGCCAATGCTGCGGGGGGTCCGTGTTTCGTAGAAGACTTCATGAAGGTAATTTGCGGTTGAGAAGACCTTGCAAACGTCACGTCGACACCGTTTGGAATGGACCATGGAGCATACTCGGTAGATCATGCAACATTGGAGACACGTTCTGTTCACTAAAGAATCCAGGCTCTGCCTAGACTTCACAGATAGGTGTGCTAGAGTCTGTTATGGTGTGGGGAGGCATCAGCTGGGACGGACAAACCGATCTGGTTGTGCTAAATAGGGGCACATTGACAGGCCAGCGATACATAGACGACATCTTAGACAACCAGGTTAGCTAGGTTGTATGCTTGCACAATCGGCGATCAGCTCATTCTAATGGACGATAATGCTCGCCCCACGCTCTTTAAGCACCCTGACCGGTTGTTAACGCTTCACATTTCAAGCAAAGATGGTAATATTTGTAGTCCGTGATGCGCAAAACGAGCTAATTTCATATTTATAAATATATATACCTACGTAAATAATTTTAAAAGATGCAAAGCCTATGAAATTTATTATCATAGATATATATAAGTATGGCAACAAGACAAAATTTGTCAGTGTTTTAGCCAACCACATCGCATGTATTAAATTTGCATCTGTACTCATAACCAGACTGGAAGAAGAAAAACATGACACAGTGAGTTTGCCTCATATCATAATGCAGTAAGTACTTTAACAATACCATTAAGAAATTTAATTTAAAACTTATTTCAGAAATTTGCGTTATAAAAATAAAATATTTTCTGAATCAGATAAATATCAAAATACTTAAACATGTATATATGCCATATTTCATACAAATAAAAGTAAACACTTGAGAGAAGACTCATGAAACCGTATCACCTTATATGTGGCAGAGTGGTTAAGCTCGTTGACTTAAAACAACTTGCCCGTCAACGCTGTTGGTTCGAATCCCGAAAGGAACTTGAAAACTATCAATCTAGCTTACAGAATGTCGATGTAGAACACACAGGTGCCGAAATAATACGTGGATGCGCATTTAAGGTCTATCTCCACTAGCATAGCTGAAAAGTCGCCATATGACCTTAATAGTGTGGTGCGATGTGAAACCCAACAAGAAATGTATGAACTAAACGAGTATCCTTACCCCGTGACAGTAGCATATTCCAGCGCAAGCACCAACCCATCCCACACAACCACCATTAATGCAATTAGGATGGTCACACTTTGGTGGATTTCTGGTCATGATACAAGAGCCATCGGGAGCTGGTATGCACTTTTTTGAACGTGATTCTGTGTTTAGACAGGGTTTTAAGAGATATTTCAAACATGAGAAAAATCACGCTCAAGCTAAAATGTTATATATCTGGTCAATGTCTCTTTTTCATGATCATATAGCGTAATACTTTTGTTGTTTCAATTAAATATTAAATCAATGATAAATGTTCACATATTGTGGTTAATAAACTGCAAATTAGACAAAGTCAGCTTTATAAGGAAAACTCCTTTTTTGTTTTACTAATTTATGTCTATTCCGTCAAATGTTGGCTCCGTCAAACTATTTCTTTTCCCTTTTAAGAATGATCATAAGTTTATATATTTTATATTGATATTTTAGGTTATATTAAATATAGGTTACAAAAATAAGGTTAAACTTTAAACAGTGTTTGAGGTTATATTTTAATGTATCTTTGCTGACATTGTCCTAAAATGCTCAAAATATATCCATATTTCAAATTCTATGTTGTCACAGCTAGACATACATTTACTAGGTACATGATAACGTCCATTCATACTATTTATGATTTAACTGCAATAAATTCATAATTTTATTTAAATGTTCGATTTTCGGAAGCAAATTCAGTAAAACTTTGCTACCAAATGGAAATAAAGGTGGAATATTGATCAAAGTACTGGCTCTACAACATGCATGTATTTCGAAACCTGTGAAATAATTATGAAGTAAGAAAATTAAGGCAGTGCGGACCACCAAATCTGGACGACCATCAAACCTAAAACGCCTGGTTTAGTTGTTTTCTTTGTTCAGTGGCTGTCGATCAAACAGTCGCTTTTTATTAAAAATAAATGCATGTTTCTTTTATAATTAATTCATTAAACTGAGTTTAACTTCCCTAATTGTGAATAATTGTATGCCTATAACAAGGACGTTGATGTTGAAATTCTGATAAAAGAGTGAAATACCTGACCAGTTTAACTAGATATAATCACTTGCTTAGTAAACGAAAGAACACTCAAAATTTCAGCATATGCTGCTGTAATATTGTATATTATATGTATATTAAAATGAAATAACAAATCAACCAAGCGATTATTTGAGTCAGACATATCTGTCCGCACACATAGAACTTTTGTGAGGTCAATTTAGGCAATTTTGAAACCCCTGTACGGTTCTCAAATACAAATGTTAACAAAATCGGAAATAAACAAATTAGCTCTTCAGTTTGGAGAAGAAGTGAGCCAAACTTCCAGGTATTGTGAAATCTGTATGAAAATGTGTTCGAAAAGTGCCCGGTTGATGGTCCCTGACCAGTCGAGAAACGGGTATCTATCAAATAAATAAATAAAACACGAGAAAAGGTAATGCAATTAGTTTAAAAAGTACCGCCATTTACTAATGAGAAAGAATAAGAATTTGTGACATAGATTAGGAGAACAATGTAAATAATGTACATCGATAAACGTTCCATTGTTGTACGTGTGTGAGACACAGCAATTTGATAAATAATACGACGGTCTGCTACTATTTTATATGCCATTTGTTTACGTGCCTACGTGATTTCGTACATGTCTACAAGTGTTGGCTGAAAAATAAAATTATGAAAAACTGGCAGGTCTATTCCGTCGTATTAGATTTTTGAAGTTCGTGTATTTCGATAACATATTCGTATATCATTGTAATAGCTTTTTAATAACACCAAGTAACATCATGAAGTGCAGATGAGTATTTTACTTTCCTTATCATACACCTAATATAATTTCCACCAAACACTTCGACGAATGCACCGTCATGCCTATAGTTGGGGTTCCAGTTTGTCAACTTTTTATGTGCTTCTGTTCGGCAAATCAAACAGTTGATATTATCGAAACACGATCGAGTATGAAATAGCGCGTATGTTATGAATATGCAAAAAATATCAACGTTATGTCATGCTATAAGGATATTTATGCTACTTGGGCCAAGATTTTATCTTATATTAAAAGATGTTGACAATGTGTACATGTCTGAAGAGTGTACAGGCTGGCGGTCTGGGAATGCTTCAGGTCGCGGAATGCGACTTTCTTTTCTAGATAGCGGGAAGCGGACATCATGTGACATTCGGATTTTCACAACGTTTACTTTACAAACAATATTGTCCCTGTGAGTGTCCTCTACATGGCTTTTCATTCTTATCAGATGTAGGTGAAGGGTGAAAATTTAGGTTGTAAGATATCTGCTTGCTCCATATCTTTTAAACAGGTCAATGTAAATCTGTTCAACTTATCTCATCGACACGTGTGTTAACCCTTTAAATATTCTCCTATAATTTCTATCGTAATCTACCATAATCAAAAATATCACAATTATAAAATTCACATGTAGAATAAGTTGAACCTTTATTTGTCTGTATTAATGCATTAAATTCTACTATAGTTATACCAATTTAAACACCAAACGTTACAGTAGAATCATAATAACATGTATATCATTGAAATATAAAGACTTCATATAATGCTGATATAGTCTTTTTTTAGTCCTTTTAACTTATTTACAGTTGTAAAAGCCTCCTCTTACAAGTTCAAATTGCTATAATACTATAAAAACTGCTTCAACACTAATCAAACTTGGCACAAATGTTGACGGGACCATTGCCCTGCAACAACATGCTCAGGCTTAAATTTTCTGTTACCATGGCAACGAGGGGACATCTCAAAATTGCCAAAATTCACTATTTTGCGTTGATTTTTTCCATCCAAATTGATTTCAAAGTGCTGCAACTTCTCAATGGATTGAGATAGAGTCAAATGCTTTTCAGCGTTGGTTACATGTTACCTTATGATCAATCTGGGGTCATTTATAGCCTCTCACAAGTCCAAAATTTTCTTGGCGATGAGGGGGACTCCGCCCCCCTTCAAACCACCCAAACAGAAGGGGGCACATTCCCCCTTCTGGCAACCCCCTGATGTATCTTTTGGCTGGGGGCCGCTCCGAAAAAGTGGTCACTTTTTTAACAACATTTCTCAAACAAAAACAAGTGTTGGGGGCCTAAATAAGGCATTTTTTCACCATTTGAGACAACAAAAAAGTAGGGGTGAAAAAGGCGTTATAAGGCGTGTATATCGCGTAATGGGTTAATTAAACGATACGTTAAATATGTTCCATTGAAAGAAAGACAACTCGCTGTTCTTAACGTAGATCTTTACTATAGAGTGAACTTTGAGGAAAACAAAAACGTGACTAATATGTGGAAATTGACGACTTATTTTGTAAGTGATATAACAATGCATTGTAGAACGGTGACCATGATGCAATAAAACAAAACATAAATCAGTTTCTCGGGCTTACAATGAATCTACTATGTGATTCCTTAGTTATTTTACATATGTTGAAAGGCACACCAGTTACTTGCCCCGCCTTTGTGCCATCTGCTAGCTAATTTTTATTAGGTTACGTACTGGGTGCTTTTCCCGATTGTCGGCGGGTGTTAATTGTCGTTTTGGTCTTTTTTTTATTATTTCAACATATAGAATTACTGGTAACAATAAATTCACGCTGAAAAAAATTAAATACAGCCAATGACGGCCGGCTTATTTTATACACAAGAAATCTTTTATTTGTCTGAATAATTTGTTTTATTTTCAAAAGAATGTTGACATAGAAATATAAACATGTATTTGAAAGTTGCAATATTTATTGACATAAATACATAATACATGTATAAAGTCATTTCTCGGTATTTTTATCCAACCACGTCACAATAACGCAATCTGCATCTGTACTCATACCCCGACTGGAAGAAGAAAAAATATCAAAATACGGTTAAATTGACTCATATGTACAATACAAAAATGGAATTAAAAAGAAATTACATACCTAATTCAATACACTGTATCATATGGGTCAAAACATTTCCCGAATCAGATGCACATACAAAAATAGATATTCCTTAAAAATAAACAAATAAGAAGAGACACGTCCTTGTTCTTACTCTTTATTTGTAAATAAAAACACTATCCTTACCCCGTAACAGTAGCATATACCAGCACAAGCACCCTTCCATCCAACACAACCCCCATTTATGCAATTAGGATGGTCACAATGAGGCGGGTTTCTACCAATGATGCAAGATCCATCTTGAGCCGTCATGCACCTCTTTAAACGTGATTCTGTAATTATGCATAATTGAAATGTTATTTCTTACACAAGAAAAACATCAACAAAATGTTCAAAATAAACCATTGTCTTGATTAATACCCTAGTTATTTTCATATTTTAAAAAATATCCAAATTATTTAGAAATCAATGAAAACTATACCACTAGATTACACAATTTGTATTACAAAAGCTGTAAAAAAGCCAAAGTAACCGTAGCACAATGCAGAAAATTAATTCAAATGTAGTCATTTCGTAAATAATTCTTCAAATTTTGGCTCACTTCTACCTTTTTATCTCTTATACGTGACTTTAGATAATATCACAGTATCTTCGCTGATATCACAGTAAAATGCTTGAAACTTGAAAGAATAACCACTCAGCTCAACATATGAAGCTGATAATATTCATGCCTATACCTTTCTTAACAATACTAAATATATCCACATATTTCAATATTCTGATTTTGTAGATCATACTTCCTACTCTAAAGAAAGAAAGTAAAGCTGAAATAATCCTCTTAGTGTATATTCCATAACTCATACACCGTGAACTATAAAGTAAGACACAAGAATGTTAAAGAACAAATGGAAAAGAATTGTATAAGTAAATAAAACTTACCACCGTTTGGCAATGAGAATGAATAAGCACTGCAAACAAAGGCCAGAAAAATGATGCAACCCAATAAACGTTTCATTTTTTCATTTTGAGTTTTTGATTCGTTATGCAGCACCTTCTGTGTCTTATTTATACGCCGCCGTTATCGTACCATCGTGATTAAATACCTTTTGGCATATATGGGCTGTATAATATGTTTCTATAGTCATTTTGTCATGATAGTCAACCTTCGTATTACAGATTATATGATCTAAATATAGCTGCAATCTCATTGGTCCAAACAGTAGTCAACAGAACTTTTTATAAAATCATATTCACTGGGTGTAGTATCATATTCACTGGCTGAATTGGATTTTCCCAGTCTAAAAATAGATTGAGACTCATATTCAATGACCATCTGTTAAAAAACAATTGTTGTGTTTTGTTCTTAATGGCATATTTCTCGATTAAAATATCATTACTTTACTATTATACTTAAAGGCTACAACGCAATGATGAGTATAAACTTGAATTACTTTTGAAGTAGTCGTTGCACGCCTAACACGTGCGTCTTTTTCCCCGCTCTTCAACGAGGCAAAATTTGTACATGTATGTAAGGTTGTACTTTTTGTGAATTTTAAAAAAAAGTCTTCGCCTATTCATATAATAAAACAATTATTAACTAGTGAGCCATTGAATATGATGCGATATTCACCGGCAGAAAGCCATATTGACCTCGGCTATCGCCTCGGTCAGTATGTCATCTGCCGGTGAATATCACATCATATTCAATGGCTCACTAGTCAATAATTGTATAATATTGCGGATAAGTGGCCAAATGTCCAGCATGTTACTATACAAATTCTCAAATGTTCATCTCATCGAGACGACAATGCAAATCAGCATATCCTAAACATTTTATTTTTACAAAAGCTTTCTATAGTAGATGAAGGTTACCGCACAATAACTTCTAAACAACTTTTTTAATCAATTTCAAACAAGGACAAAAAGCTGACACACTCCCTGCTGACCAATCAATGCCAGAATAATAGAAATGTATTTTCAAGCCTTAGACACACGCCAAGAATTTATGAAATAGCTAGAATGATCCTAAAGCAGAATGTCTCCAGATTCATGTTTATTTTCATTAACATTTTGAAAAAAAGTATAAAGATTGAAACAAAGAAAGTAGTTAGCGGCTGTTATGTCTTCTCCCTCGATTATATAGTTTACAAAGCCTTTACAAGCAACAATAAACACATCTGTCACCACAAAACAGCATAATTGTATTATTCATTGGGTTTCTAATATGAATGAATCTTTATTTGTTCATATCAATAAATACGACATGTACAACAATTTAAACATGTTTGTCTACATAATATATAACTATGCCACAGTAGAAACATTCTTCATTTTTTTTTACTCCATTACTAGGGAAGTGTTAGACTGCCTTACGACATGTATGTTAAATTGCTTTATAAATACGCTTGGCATTTGAATGTGTACCATTCAGATCACCTTCCATACTCTTACAAATTAGCATAAAGCGGACGCCTCGCTTTAACCCAGTATTGCTTTTGAACTTGAGGCAAGCGCACATCCAGACATCTTTGATCATTTCCGAATAATTGAATGTTCTACTATTGATATTTTGTTATGTTTGTTATGTGGGCAAGGCTTACTCTTTGGCTAGTACAAAACTACGTTTTTCCTCCTCTTGCATAGGAAGCCAATAAATGGCGCTTGGTTTCTGCGTGTGTATTCATACTAAAATCTTACCTTTTATTTATTCTAACTAACGTCGTGATCATTAAAAACAAAAATACGAATAATTGACAGACTCACAACTATTTTCATTAGTAGTAATTTAATGATTTAACGAATCGCCGCACGAGTGTTAACTCTTAACAGCTAGAATACTACTCTGTTCAATTGTTTCTCTTTACTCTGTCTAACAATGGAAGAATGACATACATTAATAATAACATTATTATAGATTTTGTCGTTTATTTTTATAAGACATATACATTTAATGAGAATTTTATTGATGATTAAACTTTCAAAATGAAATCATGTTTTCTGTCATTTAGCCAAAAATGTCACAATAATGGCATCTGTACTCGTATCCGGACTGAAAAAAGAAAAAGAAAACATCACTAGATTGTGTAATGTATAGCACTGATATTGTTACACTGTTCCTACGATAAAAAGAAATACAAATTGTTATATTTTACAAAAAAAATATTCTTACATATTATATTATTGATTTAAAATATTTCCTCTGTCAAATAATAAAACCAGGTGAAAGAGAGGAAAAAAGCACGACAAAGTATTGGTATAGAAATAAAGAAAAGATTGAGCATACCCCCATACAGTAGCATATACCGGCACATGCACCATATTGTCCAATACAGCCATAGCCATGTGTTACACAGTTTACATGGTAACATATTTCTCTAGTGTTCTTCACACGTGATTCTGCATATATATATATACATCATGACTAGTACAATTCTACATAAATGTCTTATTTTCTATCATTGAATTTGACTTAAAGACGAAGAACGTAATCATTTTTTTTTTGCTAATTTCATTGTCATAACTTTTTATTCCTCGCTACGAACATCACAAAAACAAAGAAGAAAAAAACCATCAAATACTTATGGATACCTCGATGTATTTCGACCAAAAACGAGAGTAACTTGTAAAACATACGGTAGATACCATTACGAATATCACAGAAAGATAATGTATGATAGTAATTGAACAAAAATTACTTACCCCCTTCCTTCACAGAGAAAGAATCAGTACCAGCAACCAACACCAGAACAATCAACAATGCACACACAAAAACACCTTTCATTGTCGTAGTTTAAATGTGTAGTTGTCTTAATTGAATCAGCAGATGAATTTATTTAGCAGGACAGTTTGCTCCTATTTATATGGTATTGTCAGTTTGTTTACGAGATTGCATACAGGTCTGCATATGAGGGGTGTATCATTTGTTTCTATTTGGAATTCCAGAACTTTTCAAACTATACAAATATGAGGGCCAGTCGTTATCATATTTCGTTTTTTAGGTACTTATTCAGATATTAGAACTTTTCTTTTTTAAAAGATTACTCAGAAATAGTGTAGGTGAGGCAGCAAAATGCAGAGCAGTGGCATCTTTACAACTATAGTATCAATGGCTTCAATCTCAACTTAACCTGTAGAGCAACACCGCACGGCAACAACAAATACATTTACTTTCTAAAGGGCGTTGCTCCACAGACATTGTGCTTTTTTAAAGAGCATCTTTTTATAAACTTAATATTTTTCTTCCAAATACATGGTACCTACATATCCACCTACCCATGGATATTTGATGCGATTCTACTACTTTAGGTACATCATATACTCTCACGTGAAACCAGATATGTTTAATTAAAGGAAGTGAAGTGGAGAGATGTGCAATGTCATCACAATTGAATATAATAATAAGCTTACGCTACAGATGTTTTGAAACGATTTTTAATCTACTTGAAATAATGATGATGAAGTAAAGAGATCTGATATTGTCAAAAAACAAAATGAGCTTACGAATGACACAAACCAATATGGACATCGTTGCCAGTGTATTAGTAACATATGAAATGTAGTAACATTTGAAATGTAAAATAATTTGATGTTGTTATCGCAAAACCAGTAACGCATCGCACATATTTTGATCAAGCCTTATTTCGCACTCGGAACATGAACAATTATTCAACAACCCATGGGACTGGAAACATTTGCCACACTAGGATACTGTTCTGTAAATGGAAGTCGGAAGTCCGTCTGAAAAAACTGCAAACAGAATGATAAGGGACACTTTTTAAAATCCATTTCCGTGTCGGTAAGTAATTTTACACTCGTGGTCAAAATAATTTTCAATTTCGAATTGATTTGTTTAAAAGCTTTAAATTTCCTTAAATCTTTAAAAAGAAAATGCTTATATCTTGTTTAGATTCAATAGAGATAGTGTTTTAATAGGTTCCCAAATGAAGCGGTTATATTTGAAAATTAGTGAGCATATTTGAAGGGAAGACTTACTGAAAGCTATGCAACGATAAGAAGGGTATATCAAAGTCATCCTTTGATTGCGTCTGTTAATGGGAGACAATTTGACGCCGCACAACACTAGCCAATTGAAACAAGTACATTGTAACAAAGAGAACGCAGAGGTGGTTCGCAGGTGCTCCAATTGTATATGACAACTGTGGAAGAGAACATACCGTAGCAGAATAATGAGTGAAGCCCGAAGGTTGGTCTGATAAGATATGTTGATAAGATTTAATTAAAAGTGCGTTAGAATTTCAAGGACAAATTATGAATGATAAAAACTGCTGATATGGCAAAATTCAAAATGATTATCTACCGGTATGCATATAGCTTTCTGTTCGTATATTTTATTTGCTGCAAATTTAATTACAGTAACTGTAAACTATAACGTATCCATTGTTTAAAAGACATCAACAACTTGCTGCATGAATAAGACAGTACAAGACGATTTGTAATGATATATTACAAATATATACAATTTGTACAAATAAGAATAACAGATATAAATGAAGTCCATAAAACATATACAAAATGTAATCTTTTATTACGTACATAAGTAAATAAAACTGTTTGCGTCGTTATTTCATGCACAGTAAATACTCTCAATTTATTAATAACAACAGACAAATTAATGTCGTGATGTGGTCTTATTTCCCAAAATAGCATTTTAATTGATAAGGAATCATTTGAAAAGAAAACAAATCCTTATCTAATATCATTTTACATTTCAACCAATAAATAAGTGATTTTTATCAACATAAATTAACTGATTGATTCGAAAACGTTAGCACTTGCTTTACTAATGTCATCCTCTAAGAAATCAAACCTGGCAGCACACTGTAAGTCAAAGTCTGTAGCAATTGCAGTAGCCTCAAGCTCCGTTCCACGGCACGTCATACTCAGCATCAGCGTTACCCGATCTTCGTTCAACTCTCCCGGAATTTTTATTTCTAGCTTTCCTAGGAAAATACTACCGGGCTCGTCACAGAACAACGGATCCTTGTTTTCAGAATGATAAACATTCCAGTAAACTGAAGGATTGTTTCTGTTAAAAACCACGTACTTTCTTTCTCTGCTCTTCCCACCTACATACATGTGTTCACCGTATTCAATATGCTTATCGAAGATGTTGTCAACTACTGCTTTCCCTTTAATGACCCTCCTCCGATCTGCTGGGTGAACTGAGGGGTTAAAATACTTTCTTGTGTGAACTCCGTATGTGTACGGACTCACCCTCGCTGCAATTACATTTGCATCATTGCCAAACATCACCGCACCTTTCAAAATGGCGACACTTCCGTTACCAGGGGCGATTACTCTGACATTTACAAAATGTTTTCTCAAAGCACCGCTGACAGTTGGTGATTCGGAAAATCCTCCGACAAGAAGTAGAGTAGATACAGATCTAAGTTCTTTCTTTCTCATAAGTTCTTCAATGTGCTGAGTAATTTCTTGAATGGCAGGTTCAAACAGCTTCTCCATTAATATAGGTTTTAATATCAGGCTATGTTTAACTAATTCAACATTCTTTTTAAAGTCTCTTTCAAGAAGGCGTTCTTGTATATCGTACTTTTTGGCTTCTTTAAACATAGGAACCAGCTCTACTGGAAAATTCACATCCATGTCGTCCATGTTAGGAGCATATTGTCTTTTCTTCTTTTCAAAATCCTTCTGAAATTCTATCCACTCGCTCGTGTAATCTTGTGCAAACTTATCAAGTACAGGTTTGGTAACCTGCAAAAAACAACAATGATTAACTGTATGGTATTTAAACAGTTACATTAATTGTAGTGACCGTCTATGATTATTTAAAGTAAAACATTACAGACCAAACTTAAATTTAAACTTTTAAACTTTAAAGTTTAATCTTAAACTTAAATTTATTGCAATAGAATAATTAACTTGCCATTTTTTCAATAAATTTTTCGAAAGCCTCATTAACTAGTTGCCCTCCCCAAGGTCCCCCAGTAGCTGCATGAAGCTCTTTTAACGTACCATCCGGCAATACTTCGTGTCCAGTTGTATCAACAGTGCCTCCTGAAATACACGAAATGATATCGTTATCAATTTCCAGAAATGTAACACCGATAAATCATTTGACCTGGGTATCATATGTTCATTTATGTATTCAACTATTTAAGCAATTAACCTTTGTTGTATAAGTTTACTTTTTAAACAAAAATAAGACGTTGACATGCATATAAAGTGACGGTGATTGGCTTCATACCGCTTTCAATATACTATATAAAGCAACACAGTTCATGATGTCACAATATTCTGCTTACCTCCGCAGTCTACCACTATGTACTTCTCTCCAGGGTCGAACGCTCTCAAGAAAACTCCATCTACCCCACCCACTCTATTTAGCGCTAGTTCTTTGCAGAAAATGGCGGCTGATTCTGGCTCAAGAGCCAACGTCAACTGGTCGTTTGGGATTCCTGCCTACAATATTAAACTAAACGTATTATCAGTCATATATAGAAACGTTGACAATGAGTAAAATTAGATTATATTTTGTTAATGTCATGAGCTTTTGAAACACTTGTTCTATTTCTTTATTTAATTGTTTGCAACATTGGTCTGGGCCGTACAATGTAACATGTGTATAATATATGTTTGTTTATCAGGTTTTCACGCCGAACTGAACACATTTTTGGTCACATTTCGGTAACCACTTTCCGAGATAACTTTCCAGTAATTACCAATTTCACCGCAAATAAGTGACCCACTATTCATTCCACATGATTTCATGGATCAGCGGATAGACAAGACACAAATGACCATAAGACTAAATATCCGCAATCAAATTAATGAAATTGTCACACTGAAATTTCACCCCGCCCGACAATGGAACCAGTGACCCCTGGAGTACAAATCACATGCTCTCAGTAGGCGCTATCATAAATAATATCCAAAAGACTACATGACTTACCATGGAGGCGGACTCTCGCATGAACTGTTTGGCGGAATTTCTCCAAATGGCGGGTACAGTGATTACCCATTTGATCTCTCTAAGGTTGACATCTTCCCGGAGACCATCTCTTAACTTGTTTAACAAGTGCTTCTGTAATTAAAAGAACTCGTTTTGTTTTCTTTTTCTTTACTTCCAACTTTAAGCACAGCTTTGTTTTTGTTGTTGTTGCTTTTTTTAACAATGTTATACTGTTTTGTCATATCGCTGAATGAATAAGTGATACATTTTAATGCAATCATAATATTTATCAATTGGTTGGAAAAGATAAAAGGTTAAGAAAAAAATGGTGAAACTAGTCTGCAGCCTGAAAATATATGTTTTTTGTTAAGTAGGCAAGTTCAGACAGGTAGTGGTGTAATTCCTAAAAATGAATCGGTATTTATCTGTCTTTAAAAAACACTCATTATAATGCCTTATATGTTTTATACTTTTTCATCTTTACCATTAAAGTGTGAGTCCTGTATCGATGGAACATTTATGTTGCGTTCATTGAAAATCACCCTTCCTTGATGATCTTGTTTTTCATATTTCATTGCCTATATATCATTTGTGAGATATATTTCCCGAACAGAATAATTTAGTTAATCTATATGCCATCATTATTATATTACCTTGACATATTTGATGGCTTCTGTAAAGATAATAAGAGCTTTCATCTTTTTTCCGTCGGCGTCGGCAAGCATCATTTCTCGATTCAAATCCTGAAGATAATATTAAGAAATGTAAGTCAATTGTTATTTGATCTTATAAATGTACAACAAATAATGACAGGTTTCTATACACTACCAAACAAACAAATTTGCAGAAGCACTGCATGGAGAGGCCATATCTGCCTTATTTTTTTTTTCTCCTTTGGAAACCAGCTTGGCGATATCTTCATTACATTTTTATAGGACATGAAACATATTATGTGTATAAGTGTTACCTTCTCGTGGTGTAGTCTCATTTTGAAATGCCGGAAGTAAAACCAGTCTGTATGCTCATTTTTCAAAGTCAGTGTTTTATACTTGGATTCTGCCTCGAAACCAAACGAATGAAATCGTTTCTGTGGGTCCATTAGAACTGTTGTTGGTGCCTGCAGCCCCATTTCAGCACTTCCTAGCCACGCTTGATCGGTATTGATGTCAGCTATACGGGTATCGTGATCTCTGCGCAGGTAGTATGCATATCCGGTGCACGTGGTACCAAAATCAATGGCTGCCACAACAATGCGGCCCATCTTTGATTCCGGGCGAGATTTCGACATCCTGGTAAAAATATTTATAATCCATTCACTCAATATTTGTTTAGAAGTATACGATAACCAAATAAATACATGATGAACTTAAACATTCTGTTTAAAACAAGCGACTCAGATATAATTAATTGTGATCGATTTCCCGCGATTATTGCTATGCTCCTAGTCAATAAAATTGCATGTTAAATTATGTAAACAGTTCTGGTCGCATTTCTTCAACAGAGTGTTTTCATTACTTGAGCAGGCTTTACAATTCTTGAAAGAAATCGTATTAATCAAATTTTATTAACTTTGTTCATTCTTCATTTACAACTGATTTTTGTAACAGTCAAAGAAAATAATGGGGGTGGGGAACGTCAAGACTCTGGATGAAGGGTATCGATAACTTTTCTAATTGACCTTTTTGTGGCTGATCTAAATATTTTGCTGAGAATACATGCATAATGGCCGACTTAACGTTCGTCTAATAAGAAGGCATAAATTTGAAATTTATTACATAAACTCTTGAATCTTGATATCTTCGGTGTATCATTGGGGTAATTACTACATTTTTAACCAATGTATGCTTCATTTTTCCTTCTTGTGAATTTTAGTGTTCAAATTGTTACTATTGTTGTTGTACACATGGTCATGTAAATTGATCATGTTCAATTAAAAAAAATAGTACATGAATATCAACCATTTTTCTCTAAATAAACATGCTTGCGGAAATTTAAATTTTGTACTGATTCTAATCAGTACGTGGTTCAATATATACACCAATAAAGTTCATCATATAAGCGAGATAAATGCATGGTTATGTATTTTCTCCCAAGATGTAAGACATTTTATCTAGTTTTCAGCATACTGTATTTAAAAATCATATTGAGAATTAAATACAGGACAACGTTCTGTATCATTAATCTTGTCATGCTTTTCTTTATTTCATGCAAAAGGCACCTTGTCTACACTCTTATTATAAAAAATATCAATGATAAAATGTATATATGTAAAAATTAAAATTCACTTGTGAACTAACCTTGACGTTTGTTTTATTTCTCTATGTATCCAATGTTTCCATATTTGCTAGTTATTGTTAAATAGCCTTTCAAAAAACAAAACGCTTCTATTCAATCAATGTTTAAGGCATATATTATTTAAATCGCTTGTATTAAGAGGTTTATATCAAAACTACATCAGTCCGGGACATAAATGTATCGCGATGATATATCAATAGTTTCTACATACAGAAACAATAGATCAATTATAACAATTATATCAACTATATGATTACCGTCAGATGACAACGGGTTAAATATTTCAGTGCCGGGGCTATTATCTCAATATAACACAAGGTAGTATTTTAACAAAATCATTGTAGAGATTCAATTTTTATATATATACTACGGTGTCTTGTACCATATTTATTATCACCTTGCAATAATAATCCTTTAAGAGAAAGGCACTAACTCACGCTTTTGGAAAAAAACTTCACTGTAGCTAAAATCATTCGCCATTTCACCAGTGAGCAGCGTTCGAGCATCTATATCAAAGGTAAACCACCAATAAGCCCAAGGCCAAGATAAAACTATGATTTTAGGCCAAGGGCAGGCGGTTGTGCAGAGATAAAAGTAACAACATTTTTTAGTTAAAAGACTGAGAGATTCCCTGCCAATACCACCGAAATAAACTTGCCTTTTGGGTGAAACTTTGAGGCCCCGGGCAATGAATCTATGAGGGAGACAAAGCTGTTTCTTCACTGTAATACTGAAACAGTGGCACTTTCATATGAAATGACAATTACCGGTTTCCTATGCTGTAGACTATGAACACACACAACTAACAGGGTATCTATAAACACACACGACTGACAAGGGAACTATAAACATACACAACCAAGAGGGTGTCTATAAACACACACAACTGACAAGGGGACTATAAACACACACGACTGACAAGGGGACTATGAACACAAACGGCTGACAAGGGGACTATAAACACACACAAATGACAAGGGGACTATAAACACACACGGCTGACAAGGGGACTATAAACACACACAACCAACAGGGTGTCTATAAACACACATGGCCAACAAGGGGACTATAAACACACATGGCCAACAAGAGAATATAAACACACATGGCCAACAAGGGGACTATAAACACACACAACTGACAAGGGGACTATAAACACACACGACTGACAAGGGGAATATAAACACACACGATTGACAAGGGAACTATAAACACACACGACTGACATGGGAACTATGAAAACACACACGACTGATATGGGGACTATAAAACACACACGACTGACAAGGGGACTATAAACACACATGACAGACAAGGGGACTATAAACACACACGACTGACATGGGACTATAAACACACACAACTGACAAGGGGACTATAAACACACACATGACTGACAAGGGGACTATAAACACACACGGCTCACAAGGGGACTATAAACACACATGACAGACAAGGGGACTATAAACACACACGACTGACATGGGACTATAAAACACACACAACTGACAAGGGGACTATAAACACACATGACAGACAAGGGGACTATAAAACACACACGACTGACATGGGACTATAAACACACACGACTGACAAGGGGACTATAAAACACACACGACTGACATGGGACTATAAACACACACGACTGACAAGGGGACTATTAACACACACGACATACAAGGGGACTATAAACACACACGACTAACAAGGGGACTATAAACACACACGACTGACAAGGGGACTATAAACACACATGACAGACAAGGGGACTATAAACACACACGACTGACATGGGACTATAAACACACAAGACTGACAAGGGGACTATAAACACACATGGCCGACAAGAGGACTATAAACACACACGACCGACAAGGGGACTATAAACACACACGACTGACAAGGGGACTATAAACACACACAACATACAAGGGGACTATAAACACACACGACTAACAAAGGGACTATAAACACACACGACTGGCAAGGGGACTATAAACACACAATTAACAAGGGGAATATAAACACACACGACTGACAAAATGTAAATGCAGCAGGAAATCAAATTGATAGATCCCTACTCTGATCTTTTAATTTAACCACAAAAATTGTTATGTGCTCTTATGTTCACAAGTCTGTTGTGGTGAAATTCTGTCTGCATTTATCCGATATTAGAAAGGTTGGGATCTGTGCATATTTGGCAAAAATTGGATATGTAAGTCAACTGTTATAATTTTCCAGGACTCTAAATAGCAAATCTCCTGAATTCAAATATTTTTTTTTATTTTACACAAACATAAATCCACATTACTTCTTACAGTACCCTTATAAAGCTTTCAAAATGCACAGATTGATAAAACAAGAAAGAAACAACACAGTAAATTATTTAGAATTTCCTTTATTTAGAATTTTAATTCATCCTGTACATTATTCAATGTACAATTTTCAATGAGATAAATTGATGAAGAAAAATACAATTTCTCTTAAACATGGTAAAATATATACAATATTACATATAACACGACAAAACTTATCTAGTTCCAAGTTGTTTAACAATCAGTCCATCATATATTTATTAATCCCCACTAATCCAAATTTAAGCCTATATAAACGCGCTTCATTTTGATCAAGTCGGGAACCAGAACATATTATTTTTTCAATGATTTCAAGATTTATAAAAAATCTCACAGCCAGGAACCAGGCAAATTTTCTCCGGGTATTTTATTTAGGTGAACACAGTTTGCAGAAATTCTGTTCTAACAAACAAGGTTTATTATATTGATCGTGATGCGAGACATAATAAATTCATTCTATAAACACTGACACATCTGTAATCAAGAAAATCTCAAAAACAAGAAATGCTGGGTAAAGTTTCAGCTTCAGTATGCAATAAGTTCATACATAATTTATTACACCAGACATTTTCAAAACTGAAGAAAAACAACAAAGAAAAAGTTTATCAACGCTCCATCTTCAGTCCCTATATAATCATTAATACCAAAATTACAACCTTTTATATGACAGTTTATATCTTTCAATACACAGGGCGACATTTTCAATCAAAACACATTTAAAATGCATATACATGTATAATGATTAAACATAAAATGAATGAAATTATTTCGAATATTATAAAATGAATTGATCTACAGGAGTAATTTTACACTGTGACATAGCAACAACTTTAAGAGTCTCTATTCTAAACTGATTTTATATGAAACATAACTCAACTGAAGAAAAAAGTTGTAAAAATAAAACCCTGAAAAGCATGGCTACTAACAAACTTTCAGTTATTCAGTCATTTTGTAGTCTTGCCTACAACTACAAATTACTCCTGTAGCTCAATAAAGGTGTTGCTATTTGGCCAGGTAAATTGGTGTATTGGTCTTTTTTATGACTAGGTTGTAAACTAACATTTCACATTCACCCCAATATCATGTTTACAAACACATGTTCTCAAAACCCAAATCCCTCAGAAAAAAAGCAATTATTAACATGACATTCACAATAAAACAATTAAAAATGTAATTTTTCATGTTTGACGTCTAGAATGGTTGAATAAATCCAGTTGTTTACAATTACAAAATTACTAAATGTATGGTCATTTCACATTACTAAATGTGAAGACGCATTACTAAATGTGAAGATGCATTACTAAATGAATCAATACCTTACACAGTGGAGAGAAGTTCAAACACGTGAAAAAATAATTAATTAATTAAACACATTTGTATACAAATAAACCATTTCAATTGTAAACCCATAAACAAACCTGTATATTAAACAATTATACTTTTTGTGACACTATTCACCATTCATGAGCAAAATATACTTACAAAAAAAAAATCAAAATCAAAAACACAAATTGAATGCCAATCATTCTTATAACTGTAGCATTCTGTCTAAATTTACAGTGAACGGAAAATAAAATTCATTACAAACAATCTTTCCTACAGTTTACAGTTGACTTACCTCCCCTTAATAGTTTAAAATAATAAAGATATATATACTTGTAGCATTTTTGTCCGCTGTTAACTATATGAAAGTTTGTCTGTGTAGTTACAAGTGTCTTAAAGCATCAGCAGTGAGTCCATAATTAAAGTATAAATGTTTTTTTATTATACATAAAATATTCAATTAACAACAAAAATAAACAACACAGTAACCTCAGGCATCAACATACAGCAACAGACAATCTTCTCTGTACAAAAAAACAACACATTGCTAACATTAACAACTGTATATTTTGCATAAATCAGGCACTAATATATTTATGTCAAAAACAATAAACCTTTTCAAAATAAGAAACAAGTAACACTGTGCCTGAAGTTTTCATATTTTTCATTAATTCAGCTCCATATTTATATTATTTTTTTCTGTACAAAAATTTAAAAACAACTATCGTGAAATCATCATTTTATGAAAATCAAATAAACCATGTGTTAATAAAATACATGCAGAATTAAAGAATTTTCAATAATAATAGCTACTATATATCTATAAAAAAAATCTTCTACAAAAAAAACACTCATTTCAATCATGTACTAATGAAAGAGCACTATATGTACTAGCTATTTAAAAATCATTCAAACAAAACATGATTTATAATAAAAAAAGAAAATAAATTTGAAACTATTGAACATTTAGAGTAGACAAGAAAATGATACCTTTCCAGAAAAAAGTAAGATATCATATAAAAAAATTCCTTTTTTAAATTGCACAAGGTTTAATTTCATATCTAACAGGCTTTTGAATTACTCTGATGTTTATCAGAGTATTTAAAAATAAACTTGCATCGTCAAAATTATGAGAGAAAATGAATAAATGCTTAACAAAACAGAATATAAAATATGGAAGACAGTAAATAAAACCCGAAACAGAAAAGATTGACAGTTTCTTTTCCCAATAATTTTCTGACTTGATAAAATACAGGAAAAAATAACAATCTTAATTAAAAAGGGGGAAAAAATCACAAAAAAATATCTAAAAATTAAAACTTTCTCATCATGTAAAATTGCTTCCTTTAGTTATAGTATATCTTATTATAGGTTATTACATCAATTACCAATTTTCTTAATATTCTACTCTAGTGAAGGCAGATTTTAACATGTGTATCAAACTTTTCCTTACACTTAATCAGGACACAACATGATCTAAAAAATATAAATCAAGAACATTACCTGCGTAAAATGATTGACCTGCGAGCTAACAAATAACATATCACAAGAATTTTCAATAGAATTAATAAAATATTGACAAAAATATTTTACAGATTTATGTAATAAAATTATTTCCTCTTGATCTTTGAATATTTGAAAAAATTTGTTAACTTTCATAATGTCCACTTGTCAAAATTAATTTAGTAACTCTCCTCTATGATTTAATCAAGTACCTTTTACAGGTATTTCAAAAAGAGTTAATGTAAATAATTTATATATAAAATTTTATATCACTTCTCTTATAAAAACAAAAAAAACTTTTCAGTATAAAACCCTCCCAATATTTCAGCAGAGATAACCATGTTTAAAGCATCACCATTACCCAGTGATTATATTTAACATTTTGCATGATGAATTTATCTATACAGTCTTGTAAACATTTCATAGTCTTGTAAAAGCCGACAATATCCTCCCACGCAACATTTAGTATCTACGTCCAGGACCCCAGGCTTTGTTGCTGTTAGGTGCCACGGCATTACCGCTACCGGCTCCAGGAAAACTTGGGAACTCCGACGTGCTGCTGGTGTCAGGGGCGGAGTCCCATGGTGCATTCTTGATGACAAAACCACGATCGTTTGTCTTTGGTTCATCGCTTCGTTTACTAGGAGCCTGTGTTAAACTCTGAATGTATTCGTTATCTAACATATCCTGAAGCTGAAGAAAAAGGTACACACCATAAATATAGGATATATAATGTATTAAAACATAATGAATGTTCAGTGTTGTAATAAAGTACATATTGAGTTTACCAGACTAGTAATAATAGTATCCCTTTATTGAAGATAGATATATATATCACAACGTTATATCATAAATTTAAACCTTAAAATATATACTGTATTAAAATACAACAACGATATACATACAACTGCCAATATCAGAATTTTAAAACAAAATGCCCGCAAGTGTCTGAAATAATGTATGAACGGGCATCCATGTTTTTTCTCAACCGGTAAAGCTAGGAAAATGGGGCATGACCATTACAGAGTCAGTGTGAGTAAAAATCCAACCAAATAAACATAACATATTTACCAGCCAATAAAAATTTATGAAATTTTGAACATACAAAGTCACTTACAAATTCTTCCTCCATGTTCAGCAAGTAATCTTTACAGTCATAAACATCATCTTCACCGCCACTAATTACAATGATATCTGGGTTTTCATTAGGACGTGGGAAGCGCAGGTCAACTTTGTAGTCCTCCTGTATCTTTCTGACACCACGCCCTCGCTGACCAATGATACGTGGGTGTATACGATGATCTACTTTAACTTCAATATGTACCATATCATCCTGTAACAAAAGAACATAATTCCTTTCAAACTAATTCTTTTACTTAACAATTCTACAGTCTTACAATATATCAAGTGGTGAGATCCAGCTTTGATAATTGAAGATTACATAGGGGTGTATCTTCAGGCATTATTTAAGGGAACACAAGGCATACTTATAAAACCATCAACCTTTCTGAGAGCTACCTTGATCCACATAAAAGAATTCCATATAAAATGCCAATATAAATCATTAATTTCTTATGATTTTGGCCTGCAATTGCTGTAGCTTGAAAGATATTAATATGCACAATTTGCCAGAAGTTAAATATATAATACCCTCTTCCAATAAATACATTTGAAATTCCTATTTTTCTGAAGGTTCTAATTTTTGGGACAGTATCAATTTAAACCCTGGCAATGGTCAACGTAAATGTATATAGGAACTCTTGAACTGATTTGGACAACATTAGATTTGTTATATTTTTTTTTCTAGTTTCTGTAAACTTAACTTTTAAGACAATATCAATTATAAAATAGACAAAACATCAATGTACCATGTATAATGGAACTTACATAATCTTTAACCATGCGTAGAATTTCATCTCTGGCCTCCTCACAGTTCTTCTCGTACCCGATGATTGTAATCATACTTTGATCCTCGTTATTTCTGTCAGGTAGTTGAATCTTCACATCGTGCTCAGACCGGATCTTGTTGATAACCTCGCCACGATGACCAATCAGTTTAGGATGGTACGAAGGGTTCACCTCTAGGGTCAACTTGTGGCTCTTCAGTAAGCGGTCCTCTTTCTCTAGCTCCAAAGCTTTCACTTTATCTGCCAGAGCATCCTCGGCTCTCTGGACGTTGGCTGGTGGTCCTGTGACCTTGATGAGATCACTGTGTTGGTCCTGCGGGGGAATGGAAATATTCACGTTGTACTCGTCCATAAGCTTGCGAACATCTTTTCCCTTCTGACCAATGATATAACGGTGGAAGTCAAATGGAACATTAACCTCTTTAGAGATTGGTACAAGATCCTGAAAAATTAAATTTACAAAATAAAAATAATAATCAACATTATCACAACAAGTTAGATATGATTTTTTTGTTAAAATTTACATTCTTTTTGTCAGGAGACAATGAATGAAGAAACCTTTACTACATTTAGTATCGGATTTCACATCTACAAGAAACAACTCATAACCCGAGATGCTTTCTCTCTATGTGTTTTTTTATGATTCCTCAAAATGGAATAACAATTTGCCTAATTTACAGACTTTGAAAATGGAATATCTACTGGCTTTGTTTAAAGGTTGAATAGATTGTGATATTCAGGATTGTTAAATCCCGCAAAAAAATATACAAATAAAAGTGTATAATAAAGCTTTTTACTAACCAAGAGCGCTTTCTTTGCCTCCTCACAGTTTTCAATCTTCCCTGTGATCATGATCGTGTCTTTCTTGGCAGTTGCCGTAGGCGACGAAGGTTCCTCGCCATTTACCATGCTATCACTGGCATCTCCAGCACCCTTGTTCCCAGCTGTATACATACATTAACATTTTGTTAATACAAGATTGATATACATTATTATAGAAACTTGTTAATATACCTGAGATTCATATGAACAAATTATTACTAATTCATTGACAATTTGTACAAATTTGTATTAATCTTAATGAAGGTTTCATGATGAATATAGTGCAACTATGTTACAGTCAAATGATAAATTTCAGCTTCAAATTAAACATGTCACTTTGCACATTATTTCAGGTAATGGGGTGGTGTAAGGATGGTAGAACCCTTAGCTGTATATAAGCTTGCTTGTTAGCTACTAACAAGTAGATTTCATCATAACTAACAGGTACTGAGCTTTTGATTCTTTTGTTTTGTTTGGTCTTAAAGTGCACAAACACAATTTAGGTCATACCACGTCCACTTAGGAAATATTATTTTGGCTAATCTCTGGTGTTGCAAACTTTAAGCAATATAAGCTGTCAAAATCACCTTACCTGCTGGAGCTAAGAAATGTACAGACTCCAGTAATTCTGATGCCTCAACCCTTAAAGGCAACACCTCAGTCACTTGGGGAAGGTATTGAGCTTAAAGTAGCATGTGACACCAGATTTGCAACTCTGTCATAAAAAATTCTTTACAACTCGAGAATATTCAAGAAAAAGCGAGGATATTCAAGAAAAAGAAAGAATGTTTACCTCCATTTGCCATTGGCCTGTCAGGGAATTTGATGGAGACATCGAAGTTCTGTGTAATCACTTGGACATTAGATCCCCTGGCTCCCATCACAGTTCTGTGGAACTGTTGGGGAATCACACATTCAATGGTAACCTGTGCATCCTGCAAGCAAGGTAAAATATATCTATCACTATGGGATAATTCAGTCAACCCAAAATATAATACAATGACATAAAATAGTCTTACCAAACAGTTGACATTAAACTTAAGAGTAATATCAGCAGAAAACAACATCATATGTTCATAATAAGGGATCATGGCCAAAATTTTACAAAAACTTTAAATTACCCAACAATTTCGAAATAAGACATAAAAACTTAATTGGATTTTTCTAAGATCTGTGAAACAATAAATAGATAAAGAGGCCATCAAAATTTAAAACAACACATCTTGTCAGAAAAAAATTAATATCAATTTTTCTGTAATGAAAATGAGAAGGCGAGATAATTCTTAAATGTTGGCTTCTTTACTTGTATAATTCCCAATTAACACATATATTAAAAAACTTACAAGATCAGCAACAATTTCTAAGATTCGCTTCTTGGCCCCTTCTACACAATCTTTGGCGCCCTTTATAACAACTCTATCACTCTTGACACCACTGCGAGGGAAACTGACGGTCACACCGCCGTAGTCGTCACCGATCTGTCTCAACACCTCACCACGACGTGCAACAAAATGTTTGTGATGCTTGGGATCAACATTTACTTCCCCTTCAACAATGTTGTCCTGAAAATAACCACAAGAATATTGGTTAAAACAGGAAAACTAATGGATGTGTTGTCCCACCAAAAAGTAGTGAGGTTTCTACTGGTTGGTTCTTATCAACATTATTTTTGTTAAAAATTAACTTATTATAGTAAAAGAAGCTTGTATGTGCATATTTTCTTCTAATTATTATCATATGCTGATATGAGCATATTTCCATCAAAATATTATCACATCAATTCAAATATTTTCATAAACATTGAACAAACCTTGTCAAGTGTTAAACTACTTAGTTTAACATAATTTACAATTTTAGTTCCATGTTTACTTCTTAAGTCTTTTTATTAACTGTTAAATTTCATACTCTTCAGAATCTGCAATAATAAACTTAAACATACCAAGTCTTTGATCAAGCCCAGTATCTCTGTCTTTGCATCAGCGACGCTCTCTTTGGTTCCAATAATGGTTATAAGTTCTTGGTCAGCATCGTCGCCAGTTGGGAAGATTATTCTTGCCCCTGTATTCTCACGCACCTGATGGAAATTAAAACAACCTTGGTTATGTTCTACTTTAAATTTCATTTAAGACCACTGTTAATTTACATGGATTATATAACTTACATGTACAGTGAAAGTTGAGAAAACCGGACGGCTTTCGGACTAAGGGTTTTGTCCGGTTTTCTCAGCGGTCCGGTATTCTCAATGTCCCCTTCAGCTGTTCAGGATCTTATATCATAACCGAGCAATGACTTACAAAGGATGCTGTATATTTGCATTTTCATGATTATGTGTACGTTTATTGCTAAATAAAGAAATGATAAAAATACAAGAAAATATGTTTTAATTGTTTTTGTCTCATTACTGCATATAAATACAATATTATTTTGGATTTAAATGAACAGTAGTTACCTCATAACGATCAAGTCCGAGTACATCTGCATATGTTTACATTTGGGTAATGGATATTGATTTAACGAACATAGTTAACTTTGTTTGTTTATAATAATGCCCCCCCCCCCCCCATTGTTAATATTGACGATAACATATTGGTCAGATTTTTAAAGTAGGTCTCGGCAAAGTTTCACTGTCTTTAATTAATTTATCTTGTAGACAGCTCTCGTCGAATTCTTTTCGGCCATGGAATAGAACTTAGCGCCGATAAATGTCGTTTCCATTGCGTTGTCATTTTGGGAAATGAATATACAAAAGGCAACACAGTCGAAAAATACTCTATTTTTTATTCATACTGATTTTAACTGATTAATTTCTCGTGCATTTTGGCATTTATATAAAACGGTAGCATCTATATCTTACAATTAATCAAACTGTGAAAAGGGACATATAAACAAATCAGACAATCATTGTTCCGTTACTGCTCAGTTAGCGTATTAGACACAACCAATTGATAAGTACACAAGCTTATTCACACATTTGGCGTCCGGTATTGTCAGGGTATTTGTCTATATAATTGACTGTGTTGTCCCGTATCAACTGTCCGATTTTCGGTTTTTACAGATTCAGGTATTGTCAATGTTTAATACAATAGTTTAAAGAAGGAGAAATTTGGGACTGAATAATTCGTCCGGTATTTAGAGAGTTCCGATTTTCTCAGCGTCCGGTTTTCTCAACTTTCACTGTACAAGCTATATTCCATATCATTCCGCTTTAAAATGTAATTTAAGTCTACATAATTGCTTCACTAACAGCCTTTTCACTGCCATAACTCATATATCATAAAATGCATACAATGCTTTCAAATTTAATTCTAAAGTCACTCATGATCCTTTCTATAAAATCATCACAAATTAAGAAAGACCGCTTCAAATAATTTTCTTCTTTCAAACTACAATAAGAGAGATTTCAAGAATGTAGTTATCCTAACAACCATACAACCTTTAAATATATAAATAGTAAAATAAATAGTGCTGAGGACAGATTGTGGGAAAACAAGTCAGAAATTATCAAATATAGGCTTTCTCGTTAATCAAAATAAGTAATACAAAGATAAACAACTATTTACCTTCCTAATTTTACTGCCACCACGACCAATGAGGAACTTGTGGTATTCAGGTTTAGCTCTAATCTCCTCAACATTGCTTGTATTTTGCTGAAATAATTCAACATTTATTATACTTAATATGTTGCTATCATATACAAATAATTCTTTATAGATGAGAAAATGTGCAAACAGCCAGAATACTTGGACAGGAAATAGTGTATCATATATGCTTTCCAAGGGTCCCATGTTTGGAGTCAAGTTCAGGCCGCATACATTCCTCACTCAAAGACGAAAATAAAGGGTCTGTTTGATTAAAAGAGTAAAGTTCTCCAATATCAAAATACTTATAAATCTTTTTTTTTTTAGTGTGAATGAAATCTTCTTGATTTTTCTCAAGTTTACAGACCATATTTAATAGATTGTAAAAAATTGTTAATTTAACAGTACATTTGTACTTCAATTTCAGTCTATCACTCATAAATCAGGAGAATCCTCCAGAATATTCTGCTATCTTTCACCCTTACGCTGTTTAATTTGCAACAAACATGTGCTAAGAAGTAATCTTTATTAAGAGTTTAACAACAAAGTGTTTCAGCAAGGTAGGCGACAGTGTAGACAGGAGACACAATGTGTGGAGGTATAGACTACTCAGTGATTTTTTTCTTCAAATTTTCAAAACAACCTGTGGCTTTCAGAAGGGGAAAATATAGCGCAATAAATCAGAAAAGGGGAAATCTGAAATCAAGATGGAATTTACCAACACATATGATAAAATTTTCAATTTCAATTCAATTTAACATGCATGGTACATAGCAAAGGCTATATATAGGGACAGCTTTCTGATCGAAGTCAGATGCTGATAAGTCATGGTACTGGTGAAATAGTGCACAGGGCATTTCAGGGGAAAATATTAGCATTTTTTGGGGAAAATAGGAAACAGCGATTATTCGGCTGTAAAATGTAGGGAAAAAATCACTGCTACTATACCAATTATAAACACTGATAAAATCTTAAGGTAAACTTACAATCTGATTGGCCAACTCCAGCAGTTGTTTCTTGGCCTTATCAACATCATCCGCTGGTCCCCGGATTGTGACTTTGTCACTTGTACTTCCTTCAGCGGGGAACCGTATAATCACGCCGCCACATTCATCCATGATGGAGCGAATGAGACGACCTTTAGCACCAATAATAGAGTTGTGAAGTTTGTGGGGGACTTCCACTGATAACTCCTTGATATCAGCCTGAATAACCAAAATATAATGCTGCATTTAACTTCAGAACTATTGAGTAAACACAAGTCTTTTTTTAAACTCATCTTATTTGAAAGTGATAAATATTTCTAATTTTATTCTTTATGATACATCTTGTTAGAACGTATGTTTACTTAACACCTTTACTTAAAACACATAACAAATATTGACACAGCAAATTATCAATAAGTAGATGTTAACTTAACATTTACAATGTTCAAAATGAAATAAAACCAACATAATACAAGAGTTTACTTAAAAGAATATACATGATAATTATATGCATGAACTTACTATTAACATTTGAGTTGAGAAATTTTAAGAACAACAGTGTGTAGCTTGAATTGGCAAGAACTATAAAAACATAGAAATATTTTTTTTCCTAGAAAATGTAAATAATCTTACCAGATCTTTTTGAATAGCTTCTATTTTCTTTTTAGCTGCCTCAACATTAGGTTTTTTGCCAGTGATGACTATCACATCAGAGTCAGATGCCTCTGTTGGTAAATCTATTCTAGTATCTGTTTCTTCACGAATCTGTAAATATTTCGGGCAAAATAAATTTCTCAAATTTTTATAGAATAACATACTTTATGTATACAAATTTTTTTTAATATTCTATCATTAATTTATCCCAAAGGTGTCCCAGTTACCTCCATAGGTAGTCTTTTTTCATAGAAATAAAACATTTGATAATATGTAATTTCAGTTTTTGTTTTTACCTACAAAGGAAGAGTTGCAAGTCAATATCATAAGTCTGTAATAGAAATATTTTGGTTACATTTTTGAAAAGACAAATTACTTGTTAGCGTCAAGAAAGGTTAATAATTTACAACATTTTCCTTTCATTATTTACCTAACAACTACGTAATCACCATCAGTAAAGGTAAACTTTACATGACTGGTATTTTACAAACACAACAATCTTACCTTTCTAATTGTAGCACCACCTTTTCCAATAACATTCTTATGAAAATCTTTGAAAATGTGCACCTGAGCCTGGTAATTGCTAGCTACCTGAAAATAAAGAGGACAAAATGTAATCTTTAACGTCTGCTTCTCAATTATAAAATATCAAAACCAACAATGAAAACAAGTTCATTTAATGTTTCTTTCTATTCAATGAACAGTACATTTGATGCTTTACATGTTTTATACAAAAATATTGACTGAATTTCCTGTTATTTCTACACCACATTTTTGTCATGTTGCTGCTTATGTCCCATTCAGCAAAGTCCACTGAATAAGAACTTCCAGCCATACAATCACAAGACTTTTATATAATACTCTAAAAGTCTTCAAAAATAGTCAATAAATACAAGTCTTATAATAATTATGTTTATAAAACAAGAAACCCAAACTTACTAAGTCTTGAGTAAGTTTTTGTAAATGCTGGAAACATTTATCTACATCATTCTTTGGTCCACGTAATGTGACAACATCACTCTTACGTCCTTGATCAGGGAATGTGATTTGCACTTGGTTAAATTTGTCCCGCACTGTTTTGATACCCTCTCCACGAGCTCCAATCAACATACGATGAAATCTCTGCTCGATTATTATATCTTTGGTTTTCTCATTCTCCTATTTTAATATAATAAAGATAAGAAATTATAAAGATGAAAACTTCTGTCAAATTGTTTCTTTAATAACAGATCGAGTCATAAATAAAAGACCAGACAAAATTGTTTGATAGTCTTAAAAATACCAAGTTATCAAATATCTCAACCGTTTGTTATAATGTAATTTGAACTTCAATACAGTAAGAGGAAGTAAAAGTTAATTTTATGGTATTTCTCAGTTTTACACGACTAAAACATTTCAGTTAAATTTTGTATGTTAAAGTGAAATCAAAACTTAAGTATTTTACTTCCAATTAATAAGATCAGGTTTATTTATAAGATAATCAGATGACAAAGTTTTAAGTACAATATAACTAGTATAGAAATTCTTTCGCATATAAATCAGTTTGATCTAAATATTTTTATTCCAAGAAAAAATGTCCAACTTATTTATTTAACCAATTCCAAACAACACCAGAGATAACATTTTGTCATCATTCAGAACTCTGGTATACCATTTGAAACTGCTAAGAAGGTATAACTATATTTACCATCCTAGATGACATCTCAAGGAGCTCTTTCTTTGCCTTCTTCACGCCCTGTGGTTCCCCTTCAATTCTGATCGTGTTACTATTTTCCGAGTCTGAAGGAATTCTGATAGCAACACCGGTCTCATCTTTGATTTTAGAGATGTTCGAACCCCCCTTTCCAATAATGTGTTTGTGAAATCGTTGTTCAATCTCAATTTCCGCGAAGTCCATGCGACTTTGCTGAAATAAAAATATTAGGAATATAAAAGCTTTCTAATACATTGAAATACTCGTGTAATTTTGATAAAATAAAGGCCAGTTTATATATATGAAGAACATAGAAATAAGAGTGAGTGTGGGTTCAATATTGAATTAATTGAGCTGAATAAAATAACATTTTGCGAGCCCTTGACAAGCATGATATTATTGTACTCAACAAATTCAATAATTTTAGTAATAAACCTACTTGAATATAATATTTTTATCAATGATGTCTTTATCACATTCAGTGTAACACCAATATTTAGCGCTCTAACATGCTATGTTTGTATAATGCAAATAATATCAGGATGCATGCAATAATGATTCAGATTGTTTTTCTTAAATGGTTTTATTACACTTGTGCGGTATTGTTAATACTATTAACAAACAGTTTATTATTCTATCTATCTTACATTACAGCAATCCTGCTCATTTCTTTAAGTAAAACATTATTACAAATCTTCTGTAAATGATACATTAAATTTAACACACTCAATACAGGAAACTGTGTCTCTTAAATTACAACTTCCTTTTCATTCAACACCTGACCAATTATCGCCGCCTTAATAATTTTACAGATCTATCGTCACCTTTGTGCAATAACTGATTAACTGCTATTTAATTTAGAATGACTTATCCCTTTATTGCACTAATAAGGCGCAGCATGTTTCAGGTTATATAAATGTGTATATTGTGACAATAATTCTGAGAATATTGCATGAAAACCTTAATATGAATAATGTCTTTAAAGTGGAGATAAAATATAGGACAGATTCTGACAACAACAAAACAGGAAATATAAATCTTGAAGACAATTTACTCATTTTTTTTAATTAATCACACATGACAGTTGTTAGGAAAATATCTAAAACTTACAAGGTCCTTGACGTAATCTTCAAGAGCCTTCACAGCCTGTTCAACTTCTTCAGGAGGTCCCTCTACCTGGATCTTGTCTTCTCCCTCGGTAAACTCAATATGTACCTGTTATATCAACAACAAAGCTATCAATATTACAATATAATAACATAATCATTGATGCAAGTTTAAAATGTCAAAAAAAAACCCCACAAATAACACTGAATTTAGCAATATTTGAAATTGGTTTTTCATAGAAAAAGAGTTTTTTCATAGTATTGAAAATCTTAACTTTGGGCACATGCCTGAAAACTTTAAACAAACCTATCTATGGGCATATGGTGATGTTCCAGCTTCAATGGTGGAAATTTAATTGTGTACAAAAAGAAATGTTTATAGCAAAAACAATTATCAACAAAATCAGACATTTAATTTCTAGCTTCAAGTATTTGACACTTACCTTGGGAAAGTTTCCAGTGATGTTTTTGACAGTTGCCCCTTTCTTGCCAATGATGTATTTGTGAAGCCAGTCGGCGGCTCGCACCACAGCAAACACAACACTGTTAGCCTACAATAAATACAGCAATATGATTACACAAACTTGTCACAATGAGGTACATTTATATATAATATGAAGTGTAAATGTATACCGATATAAATTAAGCAGTTATTGTATGTTAGAAAATCATTGAATGAAAATGTAAAAACTTAATTACTTTAAGGTAGTATATTTCACTCAAAATGTGACATTAAGTATATGACAAACATCATACATACCTTAGAGTAAACCATTGTTAGAGCTGGACCAAGCTTGTCTTGTTCTCCACGTAAAGTGATGGTTTCCGAGGGGTCGTCAAGGGGAGGGACTTCAACTGAAACTCCAGTAGCAGCAAGGATTTCCTGTAGACTGTTACCACGTGGACCAATAATATACTTGTGCTGGGATTTCCTCACTTCAACAGATACCGTCTGACACTTGCGTTTCTGTGAAAAACATGAACAAATTCCTTTCAAGTTATATCTAATTATATATCAAATTTATTTTTTACAGAATTTATTTTAGTTTGTGCAGGAAGCCATAGGCTTAAAATAGACACAGGCAAACAGTACAAAACAGTGAGTGTAAAGTTTCTTGCCCAAAAAAACAATGGCTAGCCCCTAACAGGGCAAGCAGTCCTACGATTACAAGTCCAATGTGTTAACCATTCACTCAGGCTGCCTCACGCAGCTTTTATGTCAATGTGTTAACCATTCACTCAGGCTGCCTCACACAGCTTTTATGTAAAAGGAAACAAAGGGCATTATACCTTACCAAATTGACAACGAATGCTTTGCTTTAGCATGAACACAAATAAGAAATTTACTTTATTTGCTACCATTTAGGAACAAAATAATAACTCTGGTAACTGACCTTTTCTTCATAGATGGCCATAATTGTGGCCTTACATTTCATCACGCCTTCCTTCTCACCAGACACAACGATCTCATCAGATTGTACACTAGGTGGTGGTATGTTGATCTTCACTCCGGTCTCATCCATCAGTTGACGTATAGTGGAATTGCTCGGACCACAAACAAATGGGTGGTACACTTTCTGTACGGACAGCCTCTCGTATGCAAGTTTGGACTGGAAAGTATAAATAACTATCATTACAAAACATTTATCATTGAAATCAACACTGTTATCAAGTCTGCTAGGTAAATTGATATTCAAATCAACAACAGGTGAGCAATTAAATGTGACACTTTAACTGAATTCCTTTGAGATGTGTGTAACAATTTATATCTAACTCTGACACACACACACAAACACATACTTAGCAATGACCTGAGGGTTGTTCTATGAACATTCTATAAAGCACGCTTTGGTAACAAATTATTGTAAATTAGATTTTTTTAAAAACAAAACTTTTACAGATTTTTAAGCAACATTTGGGAAAAATACGTATTTTGTCAATGAGAATGTAACAATCTACTAGACCTGATCAAAGAATGAAAACAACACTATTAACGATTTGACAATTTGATCAAAATGGGACTATATCAGTTAATGAATTTAAATTTTTTTTATTTACTAGACCGAATTCCAGTTTTGAATTTATTCTACTATATATTTAACTAAATTTTCTTAAAATTTTCACTGGTCCGAACTTTTTTTCACTGGCCATGGGCCACCAGGCCAGTGCTAAATTTGATGACTGCAATATTTATCAAAAATAAATACCTGAATATCAGAAATGACTTGAATCTCATGCATGGCTTTGTCAATGCCTTCCTTGGTGCCGAAGATTTTAATCACATCATTGTTCTCATCAGATCTTGGTATTGTTATTTTGGTAGCTGTCGACAGTTCCAGGTCCTGTAGTTTCTTTCCCTTTGCTCCGAGGATATATCTATGGTGCTCTCTTGGAATGCGGATCACGTTGCTTGCCTATAAACAATATAAAGTAACTGTTTTAAAGAATTAACATTTACATAACTATATAAATCCAGAAATGTCATAAATTTGTATAAAATACTCTGATAGCAGGCTTAATCTAAAAGGAGACTACTATCTATCATTTTAATTTTACATTATCATCCAAGTTCAACCTATGCTAAATATAATCATATTACTTTAATCTATGCCAAGTATGGGAAATACTTTGTAGACTCGAGTTTACACATCAAACCAGTATGACAATCAGTAAAATTCTGAGAATAAAACAATGATAGATTGATACTACAGGGGAGGACCAATTGCTAATGTTGTATGAATTTAGGCCCCACCACCTATTTGGAAATCAATTTGTTTCTCTGTATATTTACATGTATATATTAGCAATAAAATATGATTAAACAATGATACAATAAAAATAGAGACTAAAAGTGACTACTCTATAGCTATGTTTTCTATTTGCAAGAATACTTCTTGAAAAAAAATTGAACTTATTGACAATATTAAACCTACAATATCTTCATGAACAAGAAATAATATTGATATGCATTTCATAGCTAAGCAATAAGTAAGTACCTGGGTCTGAAGTTTGGTCATAACCTCGCGTCTTGCTTTCTTCACTTGCTCTTCCTTACCAGTAACAACCACAGTCAGGGTTTGATCCTTTGATAAGCTCATCTCAATTGTAACTCCTGAAAAGTCAAAATAAATTGAAAATGTTGCAGGCTTGGTTTTACTGAATCTGCAAGCAACTCTTTACACCCGATAGCACTGACTTTAGCAAAACTCAACATGTAAACATAAAATGGAGTTAAAATTTGATTTGCTAACATCCAAAATAGGCTCATATTAAATGCGCTTTACATGGGACTTCAAAGTGAATGTGGCAATCTTGTACCTTCAAATGATGCACCTTCACAAGAAAAAACTAGTCAGAACTAAAGTAATTAAAATTTTGATAGGGGCCAGGTTTCAATATGATGACCAATTACTTACATATCTGATTTGTTCCATGATTTGATTAAAAAGGACAGTATTGAGCTTCCTTCTACCAGGACAAACTTGTCCATTAGAATTGCAAGAAAATTATCAAATTGATAGCTTTTAGAGTACCATTGAATGACTAAACTCGGTTCACAATTTATCAAAGAAACAAACTCTAAGCTCACCTGTCTTTGCCATTATGTCCTTGCATATTTCAGCCTGTTTTCCTTCATCACCAAAACTGCTTTCTCCAAAGTCATCCTTGAAACGTCGCTCTTCCAATGGCACTGTAAACACCTGCAAGAAAAAACAAAACAACTCTTAACATATAACAATTTACAATTTGTAACAAATGCAAAATAGCACAAAATAAATAACCTACCCAAAACACATCTTTAGTCAGATACCAAAGAGGTTTTTTTTATGATAAATCTGATGAATTGGCCAATGTCATCTATCAAAGTTTAGAAACTTGTGTCAACATACTTAAAATGAAACAACAACAAATTTTCTAAAAATATTTCAAAATTACATTATAACATACCTGTGTGCATTTTGATGTTTTCACTGTAAACTTGTTGCTCCACTGACCGGACACTGGTGTAGTATTGGTCTTATCGGCTATAGGCAGGGCTGGAAAAGCCTCAGTATAATCATAAGCCTCATCCTCCGCTGATGCTCCAGAAGTAGTTGCCATTTTTGAACTCGTCGTCAATTTAACAGTTCCGAGTCGAACAGTACGGTCTATATAAAAATATTTTAAAAGTTCATTAACTATATATGCAAACAAAAGAAAAAGCTTTTAATATAAATCTTTATTAAACTTTAAATTTTAATCTTAAAACTGAGTACTTTTCAATAACAAACATTTTATGTCCAAATCTGGAATATCTTCATTCAGAAAATTTTGTTATTTTTATGAACTGTAAGCCTGATTTTAGATACACAGAATGTGTGCAGTTAGGAACACTTTAAGTGTTTAACAGCCAAGTTCTAGTATATATCTCTTGATTTGTGCACAATAAGAGTATGTATTATAATATACCAATTGGTGTAGTCCTTGGAAGACTTAAATCATGGGTGCAAGTTGAAAATTTGGAAAAACCTGAAAACTGTAATTCATGATCATTTTCCTACATAATCTAATAGTAAAACATGATGAAATTTGTCACAAAAAACCTGAACTTCAGGCATATGCCTGAAAACTTGCACCCATGTTAAATGAACATAATAACAAGTTGGTGTGTTGCAAATTTGATAATTTTTTGTAACCTTAAAAAAAATCTTTTTACACTAGTACAAAAGTTTTTAAATTTCCAGTGAAAGAAAACAATTAACACTTAAAGTGGACTTAAAAATATGAGTGGCATCCAGTCTCTCTCGTCTTTTATTAGTTTATAATAATTAGGAGCTGGTGATCATTGTCAGGTGACATACCAGACAATGGCCAGCACTAACACTATCAATTTATTAGGTGGCTTTAAAAAAAATAGTATTGATACATTACTGTATTGATAGAAGTTTGAACTTCAAATTATTATAAGACACAGTGCATCAAACTATCAAGTCTGACCACCATGGATTATTCCAAAAATCATTATCCAATAATGAATATATATAAATATTGGCAGTATTCAAATCAGTAGAAAATAATATCGAATAATAGACGTATAAATTTGACAAATATCCAGAGTTAACTCAGGTGGGTGGGGTGCGAGAATCTGCAAAAAAACATATCGCGTAATACAAATAAATTTAGCAATGAATAAAATCAAATCATATTCTAACCTTATTCATACATAAAAGTTATAAAAATATAAGTATTTATGAATGTCTATATACATCCAGTGCATTAAAACGACAAAAAATATTGAGTACAGCAGTCCACGTCAACACGTTTTTGACGTGTCGTTTGACAGTTCAACTTACAGTACTGCGTCCGCAAAAATCCGGCCTAAAGGGTACGTATAGACTCTGTCGACTCCAATTTGGTACTTCTCTCGTTCTGTAAGAAAAAAAATCAACTGTTAAGACTCAAGAAATCACGTAAATATTGTGAAAATATATAATTGACACAGACGAAACAAGCTAGCCTCACCTCCACAAGAGAAATGTTATTTTACCGAAACGTGATCAAGTATTCATACGCGATAAATCTTTAAGTTAAGTTCTCCCTGATTGGACAATATGTACAACGTTGACAAAATTGATAAATATAAACTAATCAAAAGCTGTTTTACATACGAAGAATACACGAACGTATTTTATCATTTATTTGATAAAAAATAAATTTATATTTACAGTTGAATATTTCTTTTTATACGTTGATCTATATTGCACAGAGTATTCTTGTTTAAAAGTTATATGTCAGTTATTAAACAGAACTACTTTCTCAGGCACTGGAGGTGAAAGGTTAATGGTCATGTGTGCGAAGGCGTAGCCAATTAGTTTCGGAGGCACAATTACACTAATAACATTACCCATCCAACTACAACATTTCAGGGTCCTTCATATATTATTTTTTTTATTTTGTACATGTACAATTGCGTTTTTAACGGGATTGTGGAAATGGGCCTTGAATTTTTCGTCTGTCCACCCGTCTGACACGTGTCAGACTTTCAAGAGACTTTTATGTCCGCTCCATTTTTGTGTCGCCTGCTACTAAGCGGCGACATATATACACAGCGTACACTCCATCGTCCACTGTAACTTCCGCTTGCGAGCGAGCTGTACACGGTAAACGCCACCGTAGAGAGAAAAACAGGTACCATATTTGAATACAGAATAACCAGAGAAGAAATTCTACTTTTGTAAGTAAGAGTTAGATGATATAAACTTTTTTCAGCCTATATCCTGCAGTAAAAATATCTTTTTCCGTTAACAAATGCGATTTCTCACCACAATTTTCCAAAAATGCCTTTTTTGTTGACATCAAACAACGATTTTAAAGCTTACCATGTAATATACGACCAAATCCACTTAATTCTTTGAAGATCTATTATCGTAGCACCAAATAAAAAAGAAATACCCGCTTTGAACACATCGGTTAAGAAAATATTGACAATAGAACTGGCACTGGTGTAGTTTACTCATTGTACGGTTGCTTGCTAAATCTGAAAAACAATTCATCCGGTTGCTTGCGAGGTCACTGTACTGTTGCTTGCGAGCATATTGGCATTATATATCGTCTAGATAGTTTGAAAATTAACTTCTCAGCAATGTTTTAACACTAAAAGTGTATTACTTTATTGAATTATGACTTATTCAAGTTTCAGCAAGTAATTTTAAATAATTGACGGCATGCCCTGATAACGGTTTAAGTCTGCTTTGAACATTAATTTTCTTTACCCTATGTTAAAATAGTTGCAGAGATGGTTATAAAAACAAACGCGACACCTTTTTAAAACTTTCAGTTTCTATACAGTTCTAATTCTACAACTACTGCATTTCAGATCATGGATGACTCATTTGTTTTAAACGGGCTTGACGAAATCTTTCAAGAAAGTGAAGTTGAAACGAAGACCATGCCAGAGTATAAATGTTCAATCTGTGATTATTGCACCGACAAGAAAGGTAATTTAACGCGACACATATATGTACATGATACGAATGGTAAAAAGAAAGATGACAAAAAGCGGTTTACGTGTGAAATATGTGAGTATAACACTGGGAAGAAATACAATCTAGAAAGACATATAAAGGATCATGTTGATACAGACGAAAGTGCAAGTAAAACTACATTGATGTGCGATGTATGCGGAATGCAGTTCTTGTCTAAATTTGGAATGGCCTTGCACACAAAAAATGAGCATTTAAAACAATTCAAATATGAATGCCAGATTTGCAAGAAAGGATTTAATCAGTTGCTTCCATATAAGGGACACGTATCATCGAATGTTAAACACACTAAACAGAAATGGGAGAAATGTAACCTGACTTTTCAACATAAAAGCAGTTTAGACCGCCACAAAAAGACTATACATGATGACGTCAAATATGATTGCGCCGAATGTGAGCAACACTTCACTAACAAAAGTCACCTCAAAGATCACAAGAAAGTCGTTCACTGTGACCGAAAGCTTCAATGTGATAAGTGTGTCAAGTTTTATAAATGGAGGCCAGGCCTTAATCATCATAAGAAAACTGCGCACAATTGAAGAATTATTTTGATTTTCAAAGAGCATATAAAACATATAGCATCTCTTTACCGGCGTATATGTGACTGATTTCAATAAATGTGTTATTTGTTATTATCATCACAATTATTTTAGACTTTTGAATTTTACACAACAAGAAGTTGTGTTTTAGGCATCTGAACTCACTTAATAAATATTTGGTCATCAATCGTGAAGATTAATAATTACTTATCTTAAATAGAAGTTGCATTTTGATATTAAATATACATGTAGGGCTCGGTACACAATATAAATAATTATACATTTGTGACAATTTAAGAATACGACAATGTGAATTTGAAAAGATAAAACATACCAATCAATGTTACACTTAAATATAGCTTGGTATATAAAAGTCCATCTCTTCATCGTGTATACATGTACAGTAATTGCTATATTTTTATTTTATTTTATTATTGCTGAGCAGGTACACTCGACATTATTTTAAGACTGTGATCATATCTGATTTCTGTGATTCATTTATTTTTACCATTTTCTAATGTCTTTAATAATCCTAAATAATAATAAACTATTTTGATAATATTACCATGACTTTTTTATTTTCAACAAGACTCATTTTGTAGTAATATGTAAAACTTAAGTTGTAAAATGACACACTGGTTTATCTTTGTCGTAATGTCCATTATCAAAATTTTTACATTCCGTTTGAAATGTCCATATGCCTTAAGATATGAATAGCTTTCAAGAAAGAAAAACGGTCTACGGTCTAAAACATCTGGTTGAATTGCACATATATGTCTCCATGATTAGTATTAACCTACAAAAAAGAGAAGTTACAATAACATTGAATATACGTTTAACATCATGGCATGTAAATATGTTAACTGCAATTAAATTCAATCACTTTAAGTATATAATTATGAGAGTCGCAATTTACCATCACAAAGTTTGACATACATTTGTTATTAAACCAACATATTATTTTTTATGGTTTAAATGCATAGTGAATGCCATTATAACCTTTGAAATGGGCCAACTGTTCAAGAATTGTGTTTTTAATTGTAACAAAACTTGTAGCTTGCTCCCAGGCAACCGTACAGTTTTTTTTCAAGTCCTCATAAGCAACCGTACAGTGAGGTAGCAAGCAACCGTACAGTGAGGGAATATCAACAGTTGCTAATTTATTGTCAATATCTTCGCAACCAAGACGTTTACAAATAACATTGTTTAATTTTTAGGTGCTTAGAACATAATTCTCGATAGCATCAAAAAGATTTGTTCAAATATTAGGTTTAAAGCTTTGAAATCTTCGTTTGATGCAAACAATTTTGATTTTTTTCGGGAAATCTGAGTGAGCAACCGCATTTTGTCTAAAAATATATGTTTAAACATTAGAATATTGATTATGAATAATTTAGTTTATGTCAGTACCACACATATAAGTAAATAAATCCGATGATTTATTTATTTTGAAAAGTTTTACATGTTTTTCAGCCTTGTCCTGCGTTTTACGATGTATATTTCGCTCGCAAGCGGAAGTCACTGTGGACGATGGAGTGTACGCTGTGTATAGGGATCACTTCTATGTCGTCTGTCTTTCCGTCCGCCTGTCCATCACAAAACTTGTCTTGAATACTCCTCAGAAACTACTGGTAATGTCATCCTACCTGTACAGGAATGATCAGTACCTTATGATTTTTGTGCCCCCACTATAGGGGGTGGCCTTGTCCGTCCACCCGTCCGTTCGTTCCCTTTTTTGGTCGCACGTAGCTCAAAAAGTAATTGACCTAGAGTCATGAAACCTTACAGAAATGTTGATCAGCATGTGAAGAACTTTGTGCACCTGGGTATTTTCATGTGGATATAATAGTATTTTTAGAGTTATTGCCATTGAATTAGTAAAAATTTCCAATTTTCAACTTGTGTCGCACGTAACTAAAAAAGAATTTGACCTAGAGTCATGAAACCTTACAAGAATGTTGCTCAGCATGTGTAGTTGTGCACCTGGGTATTTTCGTGTGGATATATTAGTATTTTTAGAGTTATTTCCCTTGACATTGTAAAAAATTCCAATTTTCAACTTGTGTCGCACGTAACTAAAAAGTATTTGACCTTGAATCATGAAACCTTACAAGAATGTTGCTCAGCATGTGTAGTTGTGCACCTGGGTATTTTCGTGTGGATATCTTTAGTATTTTAGAGTTATTGCCGTTGACTTAGTAAAAATTTACAATATACAACTTGTGTTGCACGTACCTCAAAAATTTTATGACCTGTAGGCCTGAAAGTTTACAAGAATGTTGGTCAGCATGTGTACTTATGCCCCTTGGGGTTTTCTTGTGGATTTATTCAGTATTTGTAGTATTTGCCCTTTACTTAATAAAAGATTTTTAGTTTTTAACCTGGGCACATGTAGCCAAAAAAAAGTTTTTTACCTAGAGACATAAGATTGACAAATCGGTGGAGTGTGGGGGCAACCGTGCCCTATGGACATATTTCTAGTTATTTTTAAAGTTTGTCCCGATTAGGCATACTTCTCTTACAGCACTTACATGTATGGTGGCTGAGTTGTGCCATTGGTGTTTTCGCCCCGCGACCCCGCCAAGCGAAAAGTCGAGATTTAGTTTTGCATAAACTTCGCCCCGCGCCCTCGCTAATTAGTACGGTGTTCCGTTTGGACACCGTGATTTTTATTTCGTCTGTAAATACGGTATAAGCGTGTTTTCGCTCTGCGCCCCCGCCATTTTAACTTGTTAATTTTCGACTTTTCGCTGGCGAAAACACGAATGGCACAAATCAGCCATCATACTTAAAATAAATACAATTTCATTGAAACTTTACAGGATTGATCAGTAGCTGAAGTTATTGCGCATATTAAACGCGTTTTCCGCTTGAATGATTTTGGCTGAGTTATGGCTCTTGAAAAAAAAGCGTTTTAGTCTGCTGATGATTTTTGAGTCGTCTGCAACATGCAATTGGCGATCTTCAGGCGACACGTGATCACTAATCTCCTATGTCTGTCTTTGGCCCGTATTCAGAAACGATACTCAATCTCAATCTCGACTAAAACTCACGAAAGGTCGCCTCAAGTAACGCTGGAGTAGACTTACGGTAAGTAACTCACAATGTGCAAAGTGGTATTCATTTTGTTTACTCAACCTTACCTCTCGTGAGGGAGACTTCAAAAGTTGACCGATCGGTTTTATTGCATAACATCACTCAATATACATTGTAAAAGTGTAATCATGTCGTTTAAAAGAGTGTATTTTAACGAAGTGGAACAATTTTGTTAAAGAATTAATTATTAAAAATCTTTATTTAAAAGAAAAAAAAAAGATTTTAAATAATTATACGTGTGTCCGATAAAACAAAAGCATGCAGAGACATTTAAAGAGTATTTAAAAGTTTTCAAGTAGTAAAATAGCAAAAAATGCCAAAATAGCAAAATAATGTTGGAAAACCTAAAAGACAGGACGAAAAAAAAAGCTAAGAAAGTAGTGAAAGGCTTATGACAGGCATTTAGAACTGAAAAAAAAAAAAAAAAAAAAAAACATTTCAATAGCTTTACATTTATTTTGAAAGTAGCATCCAATTTTTATGTCAATGCAATTTTTGTTTGCAATACACAGTGACGTTTCCCTTTTTTAATCATCTTATGACATGTTAAAGTCCCATTATGCCTCAGAAATTCTATCACTTTTATTTTCAAAATTTCAACTTTTGCAAAGGGTATAACTTATTGCATTATCATTTTGAATTAAAGTCAAAATACTACATTGTTAACATTTTTCTACCATCATAACACATTACTGCACGTTCAGTGCAACTATAAATAGTTTTTGATTATTTTTTTAAAGAATTAAAATAGAAAGATGCATAACGTGCTTTTAACAAGACTGTTGTTGGTATTTGCAAGATATAATCCTAATCTTTTTAATTTCTTGAATCAAAGTCAATGATTTTATACATAAGTCCCCCTTAAAACAACAAAAACAAACAAACAAGACGACCCTGTTTGATTGTGATGCTGGAATACCTTACGACTGAAGCGGTAATTCATTATCAGCTGTTATTAAAGTTACAAACTGGATCTGAGTAATGAAACACCATACTCGTTTAGTAAAGTGTATTTTACATAAATCATGCTAAACACATGTTCAAGATATTGTTTTGCTACCTGGATTTTGATTGTTGTTTTTTGAATTAAAATACTCAGACGGACGTCAACGCTCACTTTATGCCATTGTTTTTTCTGTCATTTTCTTTTGAAATTTCTTCAAACATATATGGATTGGGAATTCTATGTCAATCCCAAAATTCAAACAGGGTGATATAACTTGTATCTAACTGTTATACATATGCCTATATTTAGAAGAATACGACAAATTATCCCGACTCATCGATGGTCACATTGACAAACACAGGAACAGTCATTTTCATGGATAAAAGGATATTCAAGAAATTTCCAATTTGAAATCATATACATTCATTTCTTTTTGGCATAAGTACTGGTATCCCGCGAGCTGAATACACTCTTGATAGTTCATACTAGTTGTATAACACTGGGAACACCCCTTTAAAAAATAAATATTTAGATAAAATTCAACTTATGACATTAATTTAATGGGATCATCTCTATTCCTAAGTATCTGTTTTTCAACATTTATTTTCTAAAATACTGTCAGTTCGCGTATTTGATGCACTTAAATGTTTATGGGACAAAATAAATTCAAAATCAATACTTAAAACTAAGTGGTATTCAGTATTATTTAATTGAGGACACCTCAAGGTAGCCCCCTCCTAAATTCACAGATTCTCAACTTTCCTGAGTTCACTCGACGCTTACTTTATAATCTGAATACCACTTTACAGAAAGGTGAGGACTGTCTTAACCGTTAGGCAATTATATGGGATTTACTCATTGAGTGTGAGTTTAAGTATCGATTCTGAATACGGGCCTATGACTATTTGATGACTTTTCAGAATATACAGTAATAAATCTAAAATTTAATTTCGAATAACGGGCCTTTTCAGGCAAGTCACACATAGGCCGTAAGCAATCATTATAATAGGCTATTGTATCAGATCTAATTGTAAATCTACGTACCTGAATAAACTTTACACATTCAAAATATTAGCGGATTTTACGATTCAGTCGGAGACATAATATTATGATAAGAATATTATAGTCTCAAGTAAAAAAAAAAAAAAAAAAAGCAACAAATTATTTTTTATGGAAGCCCTGGAGGGACATTTTTTGTTATTTGTTATATGTTATTAGTTATTTCTTATTTGTTACGAGTTATTAGTTATTTCTTATTTGTTACGACTTACACACGAGTTCCTCGACACTCGGCCATTTTGGCATGGATAGTGAAGACAGTGCACGTGGATTTCATCTTATTGGTGAATGTGGCTGTAACTGGAGATATTAGGTTTGTAAGATATGACTGTAACTGGAGATATTAGACTTGTTAAAATCCATCGTTTAATTTGGCTGTAACATGCGATATTAGACTTGTTAAAATCCATCGTTTAATTTGGCTGTAACTGGAGATATTAGACTTGTTAAAATCCATCTTTTAATTAATGCATTTGAAATGAAATAGAAGCTGAAAATGGTTAGATTTCAGCTAGCTATTTTCTTTACAGGGGTATTATATATATGCTGACAAAATGTATAGTTTGACAGCTCACAATCATGTTTATTTTCAGGGACTCGGAAAGACTTCGGTCAAGAAGTTGTCCACCTGAGTAGCCAAGAGGCGGCGAAAGTAACTAGATTCAAATAATGGCTTACATCATTTTCAACACGTTGTTGCTATGTGCATGTTTAGTTTCTTGCGTAGAAACCATTGTGCCGTCAAATATTCCACATTTTGAAAATGGTCTTACCAGAAATGAACTCATTAAAATATACTTTTTGGAAGGACTTAAGTACTCTGAAATAGTCCTATTTTTGTTCTGCTACCACAAAATTAAAATAAGTGTTCGTCAATTAAAGCGTGTTTTACAAGGTTTAAATCTAAGAAGACGCCCTACTCAATACTCGCCGGTGCATGTTATTATAAATATAATAAAAGAGGAGATGCGGGTTAGTGGGGAGTGTATAGGTTATAGATCAATGTGGAAAAGGCTCATGAAGGATCATGGTGTGGTCGTTAAAAGAAACGAAGTTATGCAAATAATGAGGCATCTAAACCCAAATGCAACGGAACAACGAAAAGCACATAAGTTAAAACGAAGGATATATTCGGTCAGAGGACCTAATTACGTATGGCATATTGACGGGTACGACAAATTAAAACCGTTTGGTTTCTGTATTCATGGATGCATCGATGGTTATAGTCGACGAATAATGTGGCTTGAAGTAGCATGTAGCAATAACGACCCAGCAGTTATCGCAAAATATTATCTTGATTGTTTAAAACACTTTCAACTGGCTCCCAGAATTTTAAGGGCTGATAACGGGACAGAGAACAGCAGGGTGAGTTTTCTGCAACCGCTTTTTAGATATCATTCGACCGACAGTATGGCCGGCATTAAGAGTTTTATGTATGGGAAGAGCACGGCAAACCAGAAGATAGAACAGTGGTGGGGGACAATGCGGAAGCTTGGTATTCACTGGTGGATCAATTTTTTCAAAGACATATGGGATTCAGGATTGTTTGATATTCAAAACATGGTGATAAAAGAATGCGTGAGATTTTGTTTTATGGATGCCTTACAAACGGATTTGGATAGAATTGCTCAACATTGGAATTCTCACGATATCCGACGTCAGAAACGTTACGTCGAACTGCCGTCGGGAAAGCCAGATGTTATGTATTTTGTCCCTGAAATTACTAATGGGTACGACTTTAAGACATACGTGAATCCAGATGATGTGAACATGTGCATTCAGTTGTACGGAAAAGAAAAAGAAACATGCAGTGCAAAATTTAAAGAAATAATCAACATTATAAAACCTGGTGTACGAGTTCCTGTCCACCCATACGAGGCATTGCTGCTTTTTATTGAGCTAAATGATATTTTGGAAACATATCTATCATAGACAATTTCGTTCAAAATTGTTAGTCAGTTAAGTCAATACATATGAGCATCAACTTACTTCCTTTATAACCGACTTTGATTTTATTCATACCATGATATTATTCCAATCATTAAGTATAGATATGCCTTAACTGACTTAGAATGTCTGGTCACAGATTAGAATGGAAACAATCGTTGGACATACTACATGTAACACTAATGTCTGAAGTTAATCTTCAGCTTTGCAATAGTTTAAATGGGTTTCAGTTTATTCTAGAAAGCCATTTTTCACAATTAATTAAGTTTAAAACGCTTAAAAAGTACTACTTAAAAAGACTGAACATCCCTTAATTTATAGATTTTTTACGTCTCAAACAATAGTTTATTTTTCATAATAAGAAAAAAAACGACGTGTTTTACTCCAGGCAATAAATTAAATAAATTCAACATACATCCTATGGGCTTTTCTTATTTTAAACTGAAAAATAACAGTCTTTACAATAACTTACATAAGATATAAAATATTATAGATTAAGCATTGTGAAAATAATTATTCAGTAAAATAAAAATGTCACTTATTTTTTTCTGCTTTGTGTATTTCAAATCATGTCAGCAATCGGAATTCATCAATCATGTTCTGTTAATATAGTACATGAATGTTCATGGACTGTACTGCTTTTGCACAATAAACTATGTATATACATAGTTGATTTATATAGTCATCATTCATAAACAATTACTACTTTCGAACAAAAAAACTGTTGTTTTTCTATTTAAATGCTTTGTCATAGTTACCAATGTCAAAATCTCCTGAAGAAATCCGTCCTTTCAGATTTTGGGAGAATGTGAAAGATTACAGTGTACCATGCCAGAGCAACCTCGTATTTAGCTTACCTGAGCACAACGTGGTCATAGTGAGCTATTGTGATGACCCGTGTCCGTCGTCGTGCGTCGTCTGTCGTCAACAACATTTCATCCTATACCTCATGGCAAATTGCAACCAAACTTTACACAAGATAACCTTAGGTCACTGTTTACAGCGTTCACAAGAAATAGCCCATCAAAACACCGAAAAGGTTTACTTCTTATTTCAACGTATTTCTCCATCTAAGCTGAATTTCCAAACTAAACAATTTTGTGAAGCTAAATACGTACGTATGTATGTCTGGTTTAAGGCACTTTTTGCTATTTTTTTCATTGAATACTTTTTGTTTAACTGACGATAAAGTGTAACTTATTTGTTAATTTTTTTAACAATGTTGATATTTACCACTAAATCAAATCAAAAACGTATAATTATTGTATCAAAGATCCGTCTCATATATAAAAAACAGACATCATTCTACCTGTATTTGAGTGGTCTACTATCAAGTCGAGCTGCTTTCAAAAACGTTTTCGAAAAACAACAGTGTATTTTGTACAGTGTAGCAAAAAGACAAGTGAGTTAGATTTAATTTTTATTGTCACACCGTCACAACCATAAGCTGAATAGTATGGAGGCTATTTGTTGCCAAAAATCCAGCTTTGTTGATCTGAGTTGAACAGTTTGTTTACGAACAAAATACAGTTGTATTTCTTTGTATGTAAACTCCAATGTTGCATTCTTGGATTGAGTTTGTCGATTTAAAATTTTAAACATGTATTTCAACAAATACATTTTGTTAAACGATAAATCTTTAACTGTTCTTAGTGTAGCAATACCAAGTGTTCATCATAATATGCGGAATACTCATTGTTCATGTATACGCCGACAAAACATAAGTTACTTTCTAAGCTTTACATTGTCAAACCCTCATGATTCGGAACAGCACAATCCAGCTATACACGTTTTGCAAAAGCGATAAATAAGCTCCGCCCATTTCCCCGCCCACATCACCATCGTAATCAAACGTATTTATCCGCTCGCACCAGCGTAGTTTCCGAGATCATAGACGCTTGGGGTCCTGTGCCCCCAAGTGCCAAAGTACTTTATTGAGACTTGATGGTTAAGGTATTTTTCAGACATGTAGAAATTATTTGAAAACCAGCTTTATCGTTGTAGCTCTTAAATATTTGGCGTCCGCGCCGAAGCGCGGCGCCTTTTATGTAATGAAATCAGATTTTGTGAAAGGGCGACAGCAACTTCTCGAGCCTTTTATAGTTGTTCATAATAAAAGCCGATCATTCCGATCGGTATGAGGGTGCTTGATTATTAATTAGTCGCGATATGTACAATGAATAGCGAACTGGAGAATTTCGCAATGCAAACATTTTCAAATGAAATCACCTTTTCCGTCAATAAATCGCGCTCCTCGGGGTATTTTTATTTATCATTTTGTAGCACACAGTGGGTTATTATGGTATGTTATTCCGAAAGCTGTAAATAGAATGATGAGTTGATGACCTAAATATTCCGAAAATCTATTTATAGAGGGATGTACTCCTATCGGTAATTCCCGGTCTCTCCTGGTCTATTTTGACCGGGATTTACTAGTGATATCGTTACAGAACAAAACAAATATTTTACAGATAAATAAGCTTTTTTTCAAAATGAATGTTAGTTTGGTTACAATAATTAATAAACACAGATCAACTCTCAAATTTATTGATTATTATTATACATAAACATACAATTCGACAAAAAAAAACGAAAACAACACAAATCGCATGTTTTATTTTATCTATATGAGATCAAAACAATAAATATGTACAATAATTGAGAAAAAATGTACATTTTTATGGCATTAATATGACACTATCAACTTTGAAACATTTTATTTAATTTGTTATTCGTGTTTAGTAAAGATGCCGAGGAATTATTACAAATCAAGTACAAAAAAGTTACAAATCAGATTTTATGAATTATTCAATTGATTGATAATTTAAAAAATGATAAAGAAAAATACAAATGTACATGTATATGGTTTAAGAATAAACAATATTATATATTGAAAGATTAACCATAGTTTACTGACTTTTTCCAGTTAAGTTTTGACTTAATTATAATCGTCGGTCAATATGACAATTGAATTCTTAAAATAGTAGTAAACGTAAAAACTCAGTATTAAAATAGCGCATAAAACACAAAAAAGAAAAGAAAACAATATTCATAAAATCTGTATTTTTTATTAAAATAAATATTACAATTATTGTATAATAAACAATTATGCTCAACATGATCAACATGGTAATATAACAAATGTCATATTGTTACTAAGTGTGAACAGATACCTTAAGAGGGGGTCTTCGCTCATAGCGATAAAATAATAAGGGACAATTACACAAGTGTGGTGTTGATCATGCGTTACACATATGGATTATAAATGATTGTATACATGTATATCCGTTGCTATTAATAACCACGATCATAAAGAAATAACAAGTAATATTCTAATTTCTAGCATGCCAATCAAAGTTATAAGTAATGAACAATGTCTTTCGTCCGTTCATTCATAAGTGATATACAATTCTGGTAAAAACCAATGAACCATTGAAAAGTTTATAAGAATATCTTGTCATAATATATCTACTAGTTCATCTACACTTGCTGCATTCCTTGCTTGGACGCCCTTTGATGCTTTGCATCAATGCTTTTCTTGTACAATATTTTGATAGAGTGTTTCAGGGCCGTATCACCAAGCGTGTGTGATACTGAACAGTACAGCTGTCAATGATTCAGTGCAAAGCATATCAACGATATATAGTATAGATATCGGAAGACAAATAACAACGCTACACCGATATAAAAATAACCTATAATTACTTGTCTCATTCATTTTCATACGTATTTAAATAATTTCAGTTAAAATCATGTTCTGTTCGGTGTCTTGTAAAAGCCCTTGCATTACTTTTTTCCAGATCATTCTTTTTGTCATGATTGCTGTGAAATATTTCCACTGTGTTACAACAGCATAATGTTAGACATGGATACCTGCTTTTGTATATCATATGTTTTGGGTGAATTTTTCATAATTTCTAGATATTTACTTAAATGTCAACATTGTCGATTTTTTAAATGTGTATCGATTATTGATCGACAAAAATATCAACGAAACATCGATATTGTTTCTATTGATGGCATATACTGTATAGGTATATATTATATTTGTTTTTCAATAATAATATTCAAATGAGTCCAAAGTTAAGTATGTTGATTATCAATTTATGTAGATCTATACCTTGTTTAATTTATCTGTAAGAAAGACATCACTTACAAAAATCAATAAATATTCTGTGTATTATTTCTTGTACATAAAAATAGTTCTCTGCTTTTGATCAGAAAGACAGCATGTCTTAAGGTTAGAGCTATTGACAGTATATATGGCACAGATCTTAGAGCTTTCACTGATTTAGTTTTAAATGCTTAAAACAGGGTTTGCTGAACACATCAACTTACATATATTATTTAGTTCCTTAGTTACTGATTGGAAACCATTTGGTCAACGGACCGAAGTACCGACAAACGGACAAATGCAAAGCAATAAACACCAACTTCTTTGAAAGGGGGGGGGGGGCATAACTAGTCAAGACGGATATTATACCAAATCCCATTGGCAATTTTTGTCAAAATAAATCTTATTTGATTGACGAAAAAGAAACTAATCGTGTCACAAGAGGCAATGCCCTTTCCAGCCAGTGTACCAGAAGAAATAGCCACCATGACTTTGGTCAAGACAGGGAATCTAGGTACCTGGTCAAGATAAGAAAACAACTGTTGAGGTACTTGATACATTTATTGACGTATAGAACATACATTGCATCACATAAATGATAGATTGTTGTATAAAGTTTTTTCTTTTTCCAGCACCACTGGGGTTTTTATAATAGTGAAAAATTGACACTTTACATTCTGCAAGAAATATATAAAGTCATGACCATGGGCAGGCCACAAACGTATAACCATCAGACAATGACAAGTCACAGTGGTTTTCAAGTCTAATCCAAAAGTAAAAATCAGTAACTAAATTATTGTAAACCCTTCAACTCTCTATACAAGTTTTACTTGATACTGAGACAGATTAGTGATGATTTATTTCGAACAACTCAGTACATTATGAAGAACACTCATAGACTGAAACAGTTAATCATATTTGTACAATTGTTCATCAACAATTATTCCTGCTGAATATTCTCCAGGACTAGTAACTTTCAAAACTGATGCATTTATTCCTTCCAAAATAAGATGACCATCCTTGTACCACTGATAATATATATTTTTGTTATGCAATGGTGTAAGCAATCCCAACATTAAATCACCATTATTTATTCCATAAATTTTATCTGGACCATGCATTATTATTTCAGGATGAGCAGATGGAGTGAAACAGCATAATTTATAAGACCCGTCTTCTAATTCAGTTAAATACAGATTGTTATCCTTTTCAACATGGACTAATAAAAAATCATCATTGGTGATACAGTTATAGTCTTCATATGCCATATCATGTACTGAAGAATCATAACATTGTCTCATAGACCAGTATGAAATTGTAGACACATTCTCATCATACCTAGAAAATAATTTCCTTTTGTATTTAAGTTCAATATGACCAGGTATACTGTTGTTAACTAAAAGATCTGTCACCATATTTTCCTCAACATTCTCTCTTACATCTTCAGAGGCACATGATGTAAATTCAGACTTTTGCTTTGTTCTTATATACAAATGGTACTGTGAGGAGAACAGCCCGTGGGACTTAAGATATGTTTGAAAAGAACATGGATCACCATCTGTGTTCATAAAACTTTCTAAATTTTCCCCAGCAAAACTACCTAGTGAAATGTCCATGTCCTTTAGGTCACCTAATTGACTTTTACCCTGAGGGAAATATAACTTTGTGCCCCTTTCAATTATTTTCTCCACTGTTAAATCTTCATCTGCATTGTAGTCAATTTGTCTAACTCCTCCCCCCTTTGTCTTTGTGATTACTCTGTATTTCTCATTTGAGAAGTGCTGCCATCCAATATATAGCTTGTAGGTTAAATGCTTTCCTCTACCACCTTTGCCTTCCTTCATGTCCTTTTCCTTCTGAAAAGTACAAAACTGACAATATGACCAATGACCATTAAAACTGTAATTAACAAGGTGTCAGAATGACAAAAGAGTCTTCATTGTATAAATGTTGAAAGTTTGTGAATGGCAATCAGTCTTATGACTGGTTAGGTCTAGCACTTGAGCTGAAGTTTTACAGTATTGAAATTCTAGTTGTGCTCGTTAGAAGGCATAAAAACTATGTTAGGGACTTGTTATTTGTCACTGAAATATGTTTGAATGATTAATAATTTTAGTTTAAATGGGGTACAAGGTATACTCTATCTTTTTAACTAAAAAAGAAGAGAAAACTTAGAAATGACTTCCACTGTGACACAGTTATGGCCAGTGTTACTAAAGTGAAGGTCATGGGATCAAAATCCCATTCAATGTTGTTTTTATTCTTTTCTCTTTTTAAAGCATCAAAGAAACACACTGTATATCACACTGTATATCCTTATAGTCAGACAGGACCCAAAAATCAATAATGGTCATCTACTGGCCAATTAGTCAGGTTATTGTGACATTGACCCAAAAATCAATAATGGTCATCTACTGGCCAAGACCAATGCACCTATGCAGTTTGAGGGACAAGGGCTCATGGACTGTCAAGTTATTGATCAGAAACAGCTTTAAACTAGGAGATCAATATGATCTTGAACCTTGACCCCTTGACCCAAAAATCAATATGGGCCATCTAGTGGCCAAGACCAATGTACCTACCAAGTTTGATGACCATCAGCTCAAGGGTTGTCAAGTTATTGATGTAAAACTGTTTTTGCCCACAAGGTCAATTTGACCTTGACCCTAAAATCTATAGGGGTCATCTACTGGCAAAGTCCAATGCCCAAATCAAGTTTGAAGTTCCTTGGCCTAAGTGTTCTTTAGTTAAGGATTAGAAACCATTTGGTCTACAGACTAACCAACCAACAAATGCAAAGCAATATACCCCCACTTCTTTAAAGGTTGGCATAATAATTTTCAGCTTAAATATGGAACGCAGTCCCTTTGATAGAAATCTGCCTTTTGAAATTCTTTATAAAAAGCTTTACAGTAGAACTGTACCTTTAGTTAGGTACCAGGTAGATTGGCAAGCTGGGACTGCAACACTGCTTTTCAAATTGTTGAATGAATCTTCATTTTATTTTTCATTTTATTTCAAACAAATAAGTTCTGTATTATAAGCACTCTAAAAAACACAGAATTATCAGATTTTGTTACAATAATGGAGAACCATAGCTTGATTTTTGGAAATTAACTCAGCAATAGGATAAAAATACTGAATATTCAAACCCAACTTTTTGTCTACTCGATGTAGTCTTTAAATGAAATAAACAAATTAACAATTAACAAAATTATAGCCATTTCTATTGTAATTCAAAATTATATCTCTTGTGGGTTTTTTATCCGTTGAAAAGCTCTAAAAGGAGATCTAAATGAAGTTTGATGAAATTTATATAAAACTGTCTAACTTGATGGAATTGGTGAATTTGAAAGAGATTAGATTTTTGATAATACAATCCCTTAACACCAAAAGTAATTAACACTATTTAGATGGGTATACAATATCTCTAATTTAAGATTATTTTGGTTATAAAAGACTGACATGGCCATCTTCAATAAATATATTATAGTAAATAAAAGATTGAAGGAGAGAGGGAGCACATAGAAATGTAAAACCATAGCCAAAATTGAACTTAAATGATATCTTAAAAATAATCTATAACTTATTTGTTATTCCTTATTACTTATTTGTTATTCCTTATTACTTATTTGTTATTCCTTATTACTTATTCCTTTTTACTTGTTTATTATTCCTTATTTCCTTTTACTTAATTGATATTCCTTATTTCTTTTTACTCATCCTAGTGTTTACAGTGACAATCTTCCTGACATTTGATCAAGATTAAACTTTGACCACTCCATTGTATATTCTCTACCTGTGGTCTGGGCACAGTCTTCAAAAAAAAAAATAATAAAACAAAGTACCAGGAAAATAAAATCTGTCAAAATATAAACTATTGTAGAGTTTTTATTTCAATTGCCAACTGCTTCAAGAGAAAAAAGGAAAACATTTTGTAACTTATAAATGTGCAAGCCATTTTTTTGAAGACTGTGGTCAATTTAAACAGATTACACATAATTAAGACTGCTAGTGAGACAATACCTTAGGAGCTAGTAAAGCCCTTTTTTCCCCCTTTCCCTGCTCATCCTTCCTGACTGTATGTCATTTACCAGAGATATAAGTTTTTCTTTTCTTGCCAATTCTTCTGCCTGAAAAGAAAGAACAGAGACTTTGTCTTTGCCAGTAGTTAATTTACTTGATTACAGTTTATCTTTACCTTAAAATTTGGTTAACTGTCAATGCATTCAGTACTACTATCTGTACAGTTTATTAGATTACAGAGATCGCTATTTGACATTAATAAGCTATTTAAGTTTTAATATGACGAGTTATCATTGGCTATTTTAAATTGCTAAAATATGATAAACAAGATCAACAAGGAAAGGCGGCGTTCAATGAACGCAACCCCCACATGACCCAGCAACAAGAACCAATGGCAAGGAGCCCAGGGGGACCCCAAACAAAAACAGGACAGGGCAAAGACAGAGCACGGACAGGTTAATCATTAAATGATAATTAAGCCACTTGTAGACATAAGTATTTAAAGCTTGTGCTAAACTTGTATGTGAAATGTGTTCAATCTCATCCGGAGCAATGGTATGGTGATTTGCCATATATGTACATAAACTGATTTGTAGAATAAACAACTGGACAATATGAAACTTTGCACTTCAAACAATTTTTTCTGTTTAGCTTAGACTAGTAAGGAAAGTAATTCTGTAAAGAAATAAGCAGTGATTTTTTTACCTCTGCATCCTGAGTACAGAACTCATTGAATTTGCTGTGGATGCAAAGTTTCAAATATTAATGTGCATCTTTTGGATGCATACTTTTTTTTGAGTAGGGAGTCCTGTCTGACAGGAATTTGGTAATAAATACCAAATTGTGTTCAAGTTATGTCAATCATATTCTAGGTCTGCAAATCTTCTACAGATAAGAAATAATAATGTGCTATACTATAGATAAGCATAAAAATATTAAGGAAAATGAAGTTTTGATTAATCTCAAACTAAATTAATGGAAAAAACTTATTAAATTTATTTGACAGTTTTGAATAATTTCAGTAGCAGAAGCATTGTAATAAATGTAGAAATCAAATTCATTTTTTCTTCATTCCATTGTTAATATACCTTTCATTTCACTAAAGCAATATTAAGCCTTGTAACTTGGATTTGTCAGCTAAATTTTAGGACTCATAGATTTATAGCCCAGCGAGTCCTAGGACCCACAATGATGAGTTTGTAAAAAAATCACTGAATAAGTCCTTGAGCTTTAGCCTTTGAAGAGGTGCATATTCTTTATTGCATATTGAAATAATACATGGCGTATGCAGGCATAGAAAAATATTTTCTGAGTCATTACCCATATACGCCTATAATACTATATATAAAGAATATTCTACTATTATAGGCGTATATAGGTAAATTAATTGTGTCTAGTGCCTGTGGACAAATTGATGGTCAGCATGTTTTTTATGAACATAAATGAATCATAAGCTATGTCAGAGACTTAGATAACATTATCTACTAGTCCAGCACCAAATTCTCTTAAATTCTACTCGTAATTATAACTCAGAATGTAGGCTTTGCACGTCAAAATAATACACACCTGACATTACAAATGGCGATCCAAAAACAAGGGAGGAAATTATGCAAGAAACTTGGGTTTGACTATTTACCGCAAAACACCTACCAAAAGACGAATATCGCAAACTGAAAAGAATACAATTATACACCAATGTAGTATGAATTTCATGTTCATTGTAGGAGTATGTAAAATTGGTCTCTTGTCCCCAAATGTCTTTGGAAACTATCTGGTCATGGAGTGAAAGCCAGAAGAAAACAACAATGATTTAACGATCAGGCGCAAAAACAATCTCTGATAAAATAATCCTTTACCTGGAAGTCGTCATCACTGCCGGAGTCCATGTTGTTGATTGTTCCCGCGTTTAAAACTCGTAACTTGTAAGAGATAACAAATAACAATTAAGTAATAACTAAAAACAAATAACCAATAACAAAAAATGGCCCTCCAGGGCTTCCATAATTTTTGCATTGTTGCCAACGTTTATTATTTTTGCATTATAAAATAGTTTTTGTAGAAATTGCTTAAGTTTTGTTTACATTTTGGATTGATGCAATAATCAAAGTGGCTTTGAACAAATAATCATTGCTTTTATAGATTGTTGTAGTTTTAGCAATGAACCTGGTTAAGGTTTGATTTAATGATTGAGTTTGCATGTGGATTGAGACCTCACTTGTTGTCATTATTTATTACTATAAATCTGTTGGGGCTAGTTTGTGTATCAGTCTGTGAGATTTTAGTTTGGTAACTCTGTCAACGGTCACCTTCATAAATTCTGGAGAAGAGGCCTACAATTGTTGTGTTTAGGAAACTTAATCATTGGTTACCATCATAAATATTCCAGGAATCAGTCTGTTTCTGGTAGGTTACTTGGTCAACACTTGTGGTCATGAATAAAGAAGGCTTATATTTGTCAATTAACACTAGGGTAACCTCCAAATAGTGAGAGATAAGGTATTTCATATAAATACTGGTACAAGATTTTCAAGAGTGAGGTTCAAGATACTTAAAGGCCTCAACAGATGGTAGGATTTAGTTGTACAGCACTAATTAGAGATAAGATGTACAATTTTCAAAGCTATACAACACTTGCATTCAGACGGTAATTCTACACTGTAAGAATCATCTGAGGTTTCCCCTAAAAAGGATCCCTTTACATTGATCCTTTACATACTTTACTCACTAAATACTTTTTCGCCATGAGTAATGATTGAAACACCTCCATTTAAAAAAATATTTATATATTTTTTTTTTAATGTGAAGCCTGACCGAGACTCAAACCTGGGACCCTCGGAATACCGTACTGCGGCTCTACTGACTAAGCTATCTGGCCTCCTACAAACTACCTCCCCTCCCCTAATTAGAGAACAATTCAATACCGTGACATAATCATTTTCGGAATAATTTGGGGTTCGAACATAACACAACTTTGGGTCTCCTGAAGAGTTTTATCCCATCTTACTACTGTGTTTACCTTTTAGTCCTAATTGTTCTGGAATTTCATTCATTACACCCATTATCAGGAGATAATTTGCTTATCTGTTACTTGTCATTGTGGGAGGTCTGCAAAAATCTGTACGACAAGATTTTCAAAATAGAACATGTCCTATCCTAAGGTTTCCGAAATCAAGAAATAGTAGCCTTCACACATTAAGATTTGTCTGTACATCTTAGTTTTAATTGATGTTGTACTTCAAAATCCTACCGTCTGTTGAGGCCTTTAAGACAGTATAGGGATTTTTGAAAGTTAATTTTCATTGACTAGTCAACCATGTGTGAGGAAGAAAAACACTTTAAATTTAAGTATTAATTTTATATTAGAAATTTAGAAACATATTTAACAAATAAACGAAATGAAATTAAGAACAGTTGAGTATTTAATTATATATGGAATGAACGAAGTAGAAATTCTAACAGTAGAAATTCTAAAAATATCAAACATGTTTGTTTTTTCATCTCAAATAAATGCATGCGCGTAAAATAGATTCCCCTTTCTATAACTTAACACAACCATACTGTTTCTTTGGATATCTTATCTAATTTCTTGAGAAAAAAGTTCATGTATCACTCTGTCATGTCCTAAATCTGTACCAGTGTTCGCTATGAATATGGGAGATAAATCGATCACGCTTGTTTGTTTGAAACTACGAGTTGCCTCCCTCTAATGGTCTCATTACAGCAAACGTGTAAAATTGATTACTTTTAGCAGTAGTAACTGATTTATATTTGTTTTATTTTTGTTTTCATACTTCTGTTAGCATAAAATCAAGATCTAACCAAGGGTTAGGACTATATCGGTTGTATTATATTGAGACCAAGAAAAATAACAGTAATAAATGAGTACACATAAATTTTATGCATTTATATATATAGTCTGATTTTATTGACCTGTCAATTATGAATACATTATAGCACTCATTTAAATATTCGATCCCACTTCGGTTTTTTCCGTTTATTTTACGAGAATTAATATGGAGTATATCACTTACGTTTAGAAAACTCTCACTAGATTAATGTAGGTTCTTGTAACATCCGCAATAGCACAGTCGGTTAACTGATTACCTAATGCATGAGGGGTCCGAGGTTCGATCCCTTTTTTGACATTCTTTTTAGACTTATTCTTTCTTTATTTTTAAGTATATTTTAATGAAAATGGTCAAGCGCTTGCAATTTGTCTACACGGATATGAACCAACTAAGAAACACTGAATTGTCACATTTTATATTGTATAGTTACATTTATTGATTTTAATCGGAATGAATTTTCAGTATTAATTCTTAAACATTGTTATAATTATACAAATGTATAGTATTTACAAAAAGGTGCAAAACATATTAAAAACGGAACAACCATAACTTAAAAAACATGTTGAAAATAGTTATGAATAAAAAAAATACTGGACAGACTCTGTCTCGATCCTACAGTGGTTTACCCTATTGCACTATAACGGTCAGTGTAACTAATTCATAAAAACAAGATGAATTTAATCACATCTTACTGCGCACATCTCACGGAATTTACCGAACATTTATCGAATTTAATATATTCTGTGCATTGACCGTATAATCAGTATGGAATTGACAGGTTAATAAAATCAAACAATAAATGTAATATAAAATATTCACGGTAGGTAAACAAACTGTGTTTCCCACATGAACGCCCAAATCGACTGACTATATATAAAAATGTTGCAGGTTAGTTAGATTGAGCCCGTTCATGGATGGTAGTGGTAAACGCAAGCTACTGTCCACGCCCCCTAGCACCGGCTTAAGCATTTTTCAACATTGTATTAACATATGCTATTCACTGACAAGAAACAATATATCAAATATTCCTTGTAAGTATACAATTACATGTTATCACACAAAACACTTTAAACATGTGTGTATGGTTTAAAACAAGTTAATCATTACTTTAAGTATTATTTTATATGAATATATATTAGACGTATGATGACAAAATTATTACGATTTTGGACAAACTGTTGCACATGGTAAGATCTCTTGAGTTCGGAAAATGAACGTAATAATAATAATAATAATAATAAAGTATCATACCATAATTACATAATAACAGAGTTATGAAGATATTTATTTGATCTGCAAGATATGTTTATTTATATACTAATTGTAAAAAGATGTCAGAGAATAAGAGGAACGTATATTAGATGGTATTCTATTCCAAATATTTGCACCAGTGTAGCAAAAATTCTTTTTACTTTACAAAGTAGTTTGGTGATTGTGAGTTTCTATCGTGATTAAGTTAGTGGCAATTATTGTGAGAAAACAAAATGGTGTAAATACAACTGTTAGATTTTTTCTGGTGAAATGTAACTTGGTGGAATGTAACATGGTTTGTGTATACTCGTATATACTTTATCCACTTCTTTACAATCCCATGTACATTATAAATACTTTCCCAAATTTGCGTTTACAAGCCAGCACGGAGGAATGTCTCTGTTTACACTGTAAAAATAACTTCACCATTGTTATGACTCAACTTTGAAAATCAAAGTTTTTGTTAGCTATCATTGTGATAAAAAATATAAATGAATCCCTGCTAAATCATTCGGATGTCTATGTCAAAAAATAAATCATTATATTATATTGTAAAAGAAAATAGCAAGATTATAACGAAAATAGCTGCTTTAAAATTGACAAAAATATCAACAACTGCCAAAGTTTGTAGCAACATTGTAAACTACAATCTTAGTTAAATTTCGTGAACGAAGAAGTTGTATGATCCAAAGTAGTCTCAATATTTCGACTGCAAAACCGACCGACTTTACAAACTAATTAATATTACACGTACAGACGCCGCGAAGGGCGATCATCGTCTATATACTAGTAATAAAAAGCCCTAATAGAGCGCACAATTTGTTGGGCTAGGTCCAAAGAGGCGTTATTTTTTTAATGACAAACATCTTTAGTAAAAGAACTCGTCCACACAAACTGAACTTTGTATTCTAATTTTTAATGAAATTGTTATTGTAATATTATAGATGTTATAGTTGGTAAGTTGTTACGCACTAAA